GTTAGATAGAACGGCCTTTGGCCAAAGTCCTACATAGCCAACGGCTGATACAGGACTATAATGGAATAATAATTCCACCATCCCCATGTCAATCACTGCTGATTGTGCCGTCTAGCCGCGACCTTGACCTGGAAGTCGCGCGGCTTGACGAACCAATAGTTTGTCGTCTCCCACTCTTGATCAGCCGCTTGCAGGTGGCTGGCTAGAGTAAAGTCAAAGTCTCGAACAAGCATGGGGATTAACTTGGACATTTCCAGAAACGATATGTGTCTTCCTATGCAGGTTCTTGCTCCGAGGCCAAACTGCGCAAGTACGTATTTTAGTCAGTAAATGACGCCCGAGGTACAGGATTGGGTAATAGGATAGAAGGGATGTACGCGAGGTGGCGATGCGCGAATTGAGGCAATAGTCGATCAAATAGATGGATGACGAATCCATGACATACCGGCATCCAATTTCGCTCCATGATAGCGAGCCTCTCTCTGTCGCCAGCAAGCCAGCGTTCTGGTCTAAATCGGTGTGCATCTGGACCAAAGATGGTGCTATCGCGATGAGCAACCCAGGAGTTGATTCCGACAATAGTCTAACATAAGTTTATCAGTTGGCGTATTCGCACATCTTTCGATCTGACCATTTTATGTCAGCGCGGCAACTTACGCCTTCAGGAAAGAACATATTGGATATCTCTGCTCCACCAGCTGGCACCACACGCTCCAGCGGGAGGCCAGTGGCAGGATGCATTCTTAGTGCCTCCTTCATCACCGCCTGGAGATAGGGCATCTCTTGGCTCTCCTTGAATGTAATGAAGTGGCTGCTTTGGCCTTGTCGCTGGCGCTCATTGACCTCGTGCCGAAGTGTCTCAAGCGTGTGAGGATTCTTAAGCAGGTAGTAGAGAATAGCAGAGAGAGTAATGCCCGTAGTATCCGAGCCAGCCACCATATTCGACACGCACCCTGAGGCGACATGGTACATGGTAAAGGACTCAGGAGCGTCAGCATTCTTCGTAAAGAACTTTGTCAGAAAGTCTATGCTCGTTTTCCCTTTCTCTGCTCCATCCACTGGTATCCCCTTTGTCTGCTCCGTCTGATGCTCTGCAATGCGATCTTGAGTAAACTTGGCCACATATGCTCGCCCTGTTCCTGTCGGGCCAGCCAACCAATTTCGAATGTGAAAGAGGTATTTGTGCAACCACGAAAAGATTCCAATAAACGTTGCATATTGCAAATGGTCCTCCAAAGCCGCCATTACGCCACCAATATCCTCGCCTCCGTCTAGAAACCCTAATCGTTTGGAGTACGTTATCAATCCAATGACATCGAATGCGTAGCACTGTAGCCAATGTCCCATGTCTGCGTATGCGCCCGCACTGGCAAGTTCTCCAAGACGCTGGCTAAAGAGATCCGCACACTCGTCCACGTATGGCTCGTAGGTGACGAGCGAGGACATGCTGTAGGTGCTTTGGTACTGTCGGCGATTCTCGCTATGACGTCGGATCGAGTCGTCTGTAAAAAGAGACCACTGCGATGTGTCTGGGTTACTCCATGAAGAGTACCACGAAGATTTTGGAAACTTGGAGCCGTGGCCGTAGATAGACTTCTGCGCCGAAAGTGAAGAGAAGGAGTACCGGTTTGGTCCATAACGAACAACCTCACCTGCAGTCAAAATATAAGTGATTATCTCTGGTGTATATCCGATTTGTAGAAGGTAATTCAATCACACATGACAGGAGGATACGACTTGCCGTATCTTCGATGCAACTCAATGTTGTCCCACTCAAATCTGCCTTTTTGGACTCGCCATAGATACCAAAGATCAGTGAACCGGGCAGAGAATGGGCCTGGTATATTGCGTAGTGGAGAGAAGAATGTTTTCAGAAGCGGAAATAAGATGCGTGCTATGAGCGCAACAGCTGCTGCACCTGCAAGAACCAAAAAATGCATTTTCGCTGCTCCAACGAGTCATCAATAAGAAGTTAGCTGTTATTCAATCAATAGCTGGTGATTTGGAGCTCAAAATATCTTGTACTATTCGCCGTATGTTTTTATGTTGATTCTCGGCATGGTTGTGCGGGGAAATGACGCGGATAATGGGGACGAATAGCAAGTGCGGGGTTGCGGTCTTGTATGAAGTTGACGTTCACGTAATGGGCGTGGAATTACTTCCATCTTTGGGATCTTCCAATGTGAGATCGATGATATTTGAGGTCTCTTATATGAAATTGCTCAAATTTTGTCGTGGTTCGATATCGGGTGTTGCACCCGAGGCAATGACTTCTATACCACGAGCATATTATTCAGTCTCTAAAGTACGAGGTGAAAGGTTAATACAAGCAGGGATGGCTACAGGGATGGGTAATGTAGGAAATAAGACTGATATCTGGTTGGTTTAAACAACAAAAATTCCCATGGGAAGAAAAGCATGCGCATCCCAGCCTCCGTGTTGACCAAAAGAATGTCGTACTGTCAAGCAACTTCTGATGCGGTCGTGTAGATGCATTTCAATTCAAAGGAGCATTAGGTAAGTTCATATAGATTTGAATATAATTCCGCTCGGCGGGCTTGTTACACATGTTGCTAAGTACAAGATTGTCCGTTATTTTGACTGCTGATGGAATACAAATACTAAGAAGACTGAACATCAACCAAATCAATATTCTTTTATCCAAGTGCGACAATGGTACATACTTGTATATCCACGGATAAAGCAATTACATCAATTTCTATCCAAGTGTTTATAGAAACAGTATCTTGTTAGAAAAAACTACGACAATATCCTTTATAAACAATGTTGAACGTATAAACGATGATGCAGACCCTCACGAACACAAGATAAAACAATCTTTCATTGAGATATTCTAGAATCCGTAGTCCCGATTTCAGGCCATATATATTAAAATACAAGTTGCCACAGATCAGTGAGTCGTTCATTGTTCTCACCCAGTCCACCATGAATGACAATGCTATCATTACCACTCTCAGCCTTGACAACATCAGCATCAAACCATCCACGAGGTTCAGGCACACCGTCACTGCCTTCAGGCTGAAGCTGTGTCCACCATTTCTCAGTGATATCGTAGATCCAGACATCGCTTAGCATCTTGCCTGCTCCAGCATGGCCTAGTGACGAAGGGTCGTGTTCGCCAAAGAGCGTGAGAAGCTTGTCTTTGTGAGCGAGTCGAACTGGTAATAGAACACAGACACTGCGGGCCTGAGGTCCGTTGTAGCCATCAGCTTCAAAAGTATCGGTGGACCATGTGCTGTTGGCAGTGTCGAATACGTCAACGCTGCCACCTTGTTCAGTCGTACCGTCGAAGCCATTCATTCGGTAGAGCTTGCCATCATGGTAGGCAATTGAAGCGCCTCCACGCTGGGAGCCTGGAGCATCTGGTGCCTGTGTCCATGTACGGTTATTGATGTTGAACATCCATAAGTCGGATAGGCGTCCTTTTTCAGGACATCCGGCATGGAGGAAGAAAGTCTCCTTGCCGTCACTAGTAGAGCAATGATAGCTACGTGCTGGTGGAAAGGGCGCTGATGAATCAGCTGGGGTGATCTTTGTCCATGATGAGCTTGTGGGGTCGTAGCACCACACTGCGCCTTGTTCCTCTATGGGTGCCATGTCGATACCGCCGCGTCCAGAAAATAAGTGCATTTTGCCATTGAGAACGGCAGATGCACTTCCTACTCTTGGGCTGGGTGCTGAGGAAGCCGATTTTGTTTCCAGGTTTGTTGCATCTGTTCCCGTTTTAGCCATGTACCTTGATGGCCTGTTTAGATGAGGGGCATACTGGACTTGAGGGGAACCACATCGACCTTGTCGTCTATGGGCTCCCGAGGCTTGACTTCACCACCAAAGATGCAGACGTTTGAATCGACAACTGAAAGTACTTGAGAAGAGCGGCGCAAACGCTCATCGTTCAAGAGACGCTTCCAGGAACCCTTGAGGGTATTGACTGGTTTACCAACTGGCATTCTGAGTTCTTGTTGTTGTCCAAACTATATTTGAGTTGAAGTGAGGGTTGTAGGAGAAGTGAGAATAAGAGTATGAGTCGTCTTAGATCAGGTAAAATGCATACAATTGCGTCATGCGGGAGGAATGTCACTGTGAAAGATCGACCGGCATAAACGCGCTAAGACTAAAGTGTGCTAGTCGGACGCGCATAGATCGTCATTGGTCGCGGCGCCATGTCCAAAAGTTCGCGATGCAGATGACTTTGGCTCGTCGCAAACCACATGCAACTTGACGTGCCGATATGAGGCTTCGATTGACGGTGCAGAGGAACGGCCTGCCTGCTGCCAACATTCTCTGGAGCGTTCCCGACACCAACAGTACACAGGCATACACCATTACGCGTTTGCTCGAAGATGTTAACTACATTATCCCGCTAGAGGCTGAGCATTGGGGCCTGGAGCACTATGTCGTCGAGGTGGGCGGCTTCGAGTGCCTTCACTTTATGCCTGTCATCAATGCACTCAAGGAAGACGACCATGTGTCGTACGTAATATGATAGTAACTGTATTGCTGTATGCTGACGACTCAACTATAGCATCCGACCGCTCATGACAGCCGAAATACGCGCGCGCACCCTCACTGGCCGTGACCAGATATCCGACGGAGGCCAACACCTTGTCGATGGTATTCCTTTCGGTCGACCCTACTTGCGACAACCAAACCGACCCCCAGTTCGCATACCCCCACGCAAGCGACGCCGACTCGACGACGGAGAAGCAGAAGCAGAGCCAGAGTCAGAAGCCACAGCTTTGCTTATGGAACACGGTGAAGAAGCCGAAGAAGAAGAAGAGCCTCTTCCACTCTTGAATGGCCATACAGTCTCTAGGAGTAGTGTGAACAAGTCTGGGAGAGAGTCTAAGACAGTACACTTCCAGGAGCCAGAGATTGATGAATCTGATGACAGTGAGGAAGATGACGACTTTGTGCCAGGGGATGGCGACGAATCCGCCTCTTCTGCCGAAGATTCAGAAGACGACTCAGATTCAGATTCGGGCTCGGCAGCCAAGCCCGGCAGTTCGTCAAGCGCCTCAGATACGTCAGATTCAGGGTCAGACTCAGGGTCAGAATCAGATACGACGAGTAACTCCGACTCCGACTCCGACTCTGACTCCGATGACAGCGATGCAAGCGCTCCCCCTGACGTCCTGTCGTCGAAGGATGGCCGCAAGACTACAGCAACACAGCACGTTCCTCCAGGCCAGGGACTCAAAGCCACAAAGGTCCGAAACTCTCGACGCACTAGAGTAAATCGTCTTCGTCGCCTGATAGCATCTGGTGTGCTCCCTGAGGGTGCGGGTCTGAGTGACCTGAAGAACTATGAGGAAGGGAACTTTGGCCAGCCCGAAGCAGAAGAGGGCTCTACTAGCACACAGCCATTTTCTAAATCTCAAGGCAAGAGAAAACGATTAGATGACGAGGTTTCGGTGGCCGAAGATGCTTTACAACTGGAACAAAGAAAACAAGAGCTGATTGCCAAGTTTGGAGACACATTGTCTGGTCCTGTGCCATCAGTTGACTCGGTGCAGCCAGAGACAATGCCAGTAGACGAAGCTCCCGCCGAAAGAGCAGTTGCTTCGAGAAGGCTACGGCCAGATACTGCTGCTATTGGTCGGATACTTGCTCGACAAGCAGCACCAGTGGTCAGAAAGGGAAGAAACAAAGCAGCGGTGGATGAAGTCACGGAGCCTGAAGGGGCATCAGATCCTGATTTCTGGAAGTCGCGTATCAACGTGTCTGCTTTTGAGTGTTGGGATGAGGAGTTTGAGCTTAATGCCCCGCCGTTTCCATTCGAACAGCACTGGGATCCTGCCAGTAAGGCGATGCGGGAGAAGGCGGCTAAAAAGAAACAGAAGAAGAAGAAGAAGCAGAGTCATGCACCACAACAGACATATGCAGTGCAGGAGGAAGATGAGGAAGAGAAGATCATTCTGGACTATGACGATGCTCCTGCAGCCAACAATGAGTCGGAGATTATAGATGCAGCAATCGAGGATCAGCTTCAACAAGACCTTGCGACAGCCGCGCAAACTGATTTGGCGCCACTGCCCGAGGATATGAGTACTTTGCCTGATCTTACCGCGGCGGACATGAAGAAGGGCGCGGTGATTGCATGCAAGTTCTTTACTGTGAACCCTATCACTGTCACGCCTGAAATTAGTGGGTTCAAGACGGCGACTGTAGAGCACGAAGGGGACTCAGGGCCTGGTGCAGGGACGATCCAATTGAGGATTGCAGCGCGTGACCTGGTCAAGAAGGAGAAGAAGTTTGATGGTAAAGGTAATCGAGTCTACAATGCGGCTGATGCGTTGCTGATGGAGAGTGACGACGAAGAAGATGGCTTATGGGAGGGGCAATTTGGCGAACTCTTAGAAGCAAAGCTGGTGAAGGCTGCATAGAGCAGGACTGACTACTGTAGCGATTTTATGTTTCATCCATGTACCAATATATCCAATTGTAATAGTATAGCTACTCGCTATGTACATGTGGATATATTCTTACCCCCGAAGCACGTGACCCATGTGTCAGCCGCAACAGAGTACTAGGGCCGATGAGCCGCGGGGGGGCATGGTGGGCCAGCAAGGCAGGGTCTGTATGTACCCCACCAAACGTCATGTTACCCGCCAACCATAGATGAGCCGCATGAACCGACGATCGTCAACTCTCTGCATTTGCCCTTGAAAAGAAACGTTGTTTTGGGTATGTGTATGCGGGCGGCTTTTGCGCCAGTCTCGCATGCCTGGCGAGCTGTTTCTAGGACCGGGCGGCTACCACTCGGAGTGTCATTGTTGCGAAGGCTTTTGCTGGGCGCCAGGAATCCATGTCCTAGCCTGGCTCTAACAACTGCCGTGGTGGGGTAGCTTCATGGTTTCCTGTTAGCAATAGGTGCATCATGCAGTAAGGCGGAAGACTCACTTTACAAATTTTCGGTACTTGTAATCCGTTTGACTTAAATTCCCAGCAATCCCGTCTTTTTTTTCACTACACCACGCTCTTCACCAAAACATCCACCACCATGCCTCTTCCCACTGGTGTATACCGCGCCGACCACGTCGGCTCCTTCCTCCGCCCCAAGGCCGTCCTCGAGGCACGCACAAAAGCTGCCAATGGCGAAATCACTGCCGAGGAGCTTCGCAAGGTCGAAGACGAGCACATTGCCCAGGTTGCAAAGCAGCAAATAGACAATGGCCTGCTTTCCGTCACTGATGGCGAGTTCCGCCGCGCATACTTTCACCTCGACTTCCTCAAGAACGTCGCTGGTATCGAAGAGAAGGGTCAGGTTGGAAACATCAGGCACAAGGACGGCTTCTCCCCGCCAACCCTCGTCGTAACTGGCAAGCTCGGCCACCCCAAAGCTATCCAGGTCGAGGACTTTCAGTTCCTTGAGCAGGCCATCAAGAACAATGGCAGCAAGGCCACAACAAAGGTCTGCATTCCTTCGCCCACCATGGTGCACTTCCGTGGTGGCCGTGCCTCCATCGACATCTCCGCCTACCCCGACCTCGACGTCTTCTTCGACGACCTCGCACGCGTCTACCAGGAGGAGCTCGACTCCCTCTACAAGGCCGGCTGCCGCTTCGTTCAGCTCGACGACACAAACCTTGCCTACCTGTGCGACCCAGATATGCGCAAGGCCGCCGAAACTGAGCGCAACGAGGACCTCAGCACCCTGCCGCGCAAGTACGCCGAGCTCATCAACAAGGCCATTGAGAAGAGGCCTGCCGACATGAAGATTGGCATCCATCTTTGCCGTGGTAACTACCGCTCCAAGTGGTTCGCCTCAGGCGGCTACGAGCCCGTCGCCGAAGTCCTCTTCAAGGAACTCAATGTCGACGCCTACTTCCTCGAGTACGACGACGCGCGCTCTGGCGACTTCAGCCCCCTGCGCCACCTCCCCGAGCACAAGGTCGTCGTCCTGGGTGTCATGTCGAGCAAGAAGAACACACTTGATGACAAGGACGAGATCATCAAGAGGTTGCATGAGGCTGCCAAGATCACACCAAATGGTCTTGACCAGCTGTGTGTGAGCCACCAGTGTGGATTCAGTTCGACTGCTGAGGGTAACGAGTTGACCGAGGAGGAGCAATGGGCCAAGGTTAGACTTAATGTTGAGATTGCCAAGAGCGTTTGGGGTGACGATATCGCCAAATAAATACTTTGACCCCGAGAGTCTATTGAGGACGCGCGTGGGCGAAGTGGGAAAAGGCGTTCACTGGCAGTTCATTTTCCGAAGCGATGTACGCATTACATGCATTGGTGGAGGAAGAAAGAGAAAGAGATACCCCAGGGTGTAGTAGTATCTGGGACAGTATGAGCGAGAGAGGTTTGTGTTTGAAGCGATGATGAACGACGACGAAGATGATTACCTATGACGACCATGATGTATTGCCGATCAATTGGTCTAGAAAAATCCCCCTTCTCTGTCCTTCTTTTTTTGAGAGAAGAGAACATTGCCTCTTCAACGAGGTCCGGGTCCAACATAACCAAGTTCTTAAATGTATGTATAACTATATTTGTAGATATAAGAAAAAGTGGTTCAACCCCTCCACACACACATAGATATACTCTTCCCTTCCCCCTTTGTTGCTTTTGAAATAGAATTAAAGGAATGAAAAAAAGAATTTAAAGAAACGAACACAGGCGAGGCTGATGCCGATGCCGACGCCGATACACGGCGTTTTTGCCTTTTCTTTTTTTAACTTCCAACTTTGATATACGTAGATGGTGGATGAATGTAAAGGGCTCTCCGCAAAGAACCACCAACATTACGTAAGTACCTTGCACGACTTGACTTTTTTTATCTCTATTTACTATGTAGCGTATCAAATCAACTATCTGAGAAAAGGATAGTAGGCCATACCCTCAGCTGCTGAGATCGGGTGTCAAAAAAATCGACTTTGTAGTTAAATTAGACGGATTTGGATGAGCTTTAGGGATACCGTCGCTCGACTTTTAGAAGATTATTCGGTAATACTAATGTGTGCACAATTTAATGGGTATATAACTATTAGGTACAACTCCATTGGGTACGACGACGAAAATACAGGTTGTGATGAAGGCAGCAAAACAGCGGTACCTTGTACTTAAGCCGCAAAGACTCTTATATTTCGGTGCTTATTTATATGCTCTTTAGATCTATTTCTATCTATCGTAACGGGCCGGTGCATAAGGGTCACTAAGTGACCCCTTGTGCAGATAGTATGATCTGACTTGGTGAGTATAAGACAGGAGCTTTTTGTATGTGTACAGTAGGGATCTTTAGGCAATCGACTTCAAGTTCAAGTTTACAACATTTTCTCTTTATTATCCCTCTCGTGTCCTAAGTAAGGACGTGACTACGGTTAAGGTGAAGGCCCCCTGTAGTCGACCGAGTAGAACTCGTGGATGCCAGCACGCTTTGCCACCCCCGCTCAATAAGCTTTGAACAAGAAAAAACTACAGCAATTTAAGGGCGGCTGATATAAATCCTTTCGTATTGAGCATCGAAGCTGCAAAAAACTAAGTCGAATGCAAGGAAAGTTCCGGGGTGGATATAACGTAAGCGGACTGGAAGAGTCTAGATTGTCCCCTTTGCGGTTACACTTGGTAGTGTAGCGCTTTCTAGAAGTAAGCAATACGCTTAATTTCTTACTCAAAGCTTTATTTCTGCGCTTTCGTCTGGAGCAGTCTAGATTTGCCTTCTTGCGGCTACATTCAATATCGTGGCGCTTTCTATTAATACGCAATGCGCTTGTCGTTCTTGGAATCAGCCTCCTCGATCTGTTTTTGTACTAGCATTTGATTTCTGTAGATATAAAAGCCAGGTTCTAGAGGCATGAGTAAAGGTTTCTTTTCAACATCAAGACGATCACCTTGCCAACGTGTATCAACCTTGAAAGAACTACATTCCTACATATTCAACTTCTGCTTCGTTCTATCCGAAAAGAAAGATGCTACTCTCTATCGTCTTGTTTCCTACCCTTATCGCCGTCTCCCAGGCGGGGACAAGCACTATCTGGAATGTCTCGGGAACATGTAATAACCAGAATATTTGCGACATCGATCTCAAGTACGCGGATCCCTACGACAAAAGAACCGGCTGCAGAGGCGGCCCAGGAACATTTGCAGGAGATGGGAAAAATGGAAGGTCATCATGTACGCCTCCGGGTACCAAATGCACATATGTCTGGGGTTGCTTGTGAGCGTAAGGTGGGAAGTAAGTCAGCCAAATGTAATGAATAAGTCTAGTGCGCTAGATTTGATCTAAAACGGTATTATGTTGCCTAATTAACACCTCTATAGTCTCAACCCGTGTACCAGTAATGGAGCTTTCTATCTATAACGTGTTTGGGGGGGGGAGGGGTTTAGCCCAACCTAATTACTAAAATCCGAGAAAATAGCTTTCTAGACACATTTTGTAGGTACTAACGTCGCGATTAAAAGATGTTAGAAACAATATCCCAGACTGTACACTAGCATAGTATTAGAGTATAAGAATTGCTCAGCCGTTCTAAGCATTTACCCCGTCCGGTACAGTAGTACAAACTGATCGAAACTCAGCCTCATACTACGTTCTAGTGATCAGTGCATTGTTGATCGCCCCACCAAAACTTGCAGGGGTGCAGCTCTTAGAATACGAATACGCTTAACATACGAGACCTCGACACTTATGGGCTAATTCTACTATAAATTCTGCAAAGTGTCGAGGGGGGAAAAAAAGAGAGAATTCATGTTTCTGTTGATGTTGTTACGCTCTAATTTAAACAGTCGCTTCAAAGTTTCTATTTCGTCAACTCTACATTCATTGGAATTTCCAGCAACGGCAATATGGCGTCGGTACACCTCACTCCTCGTGGAGAAGCAAACTTCGATCTTTTCCCGTACAACCCTTCAATTGGCGCTGGATACGCCTATATGGTCATGTTTGGGATCATGGCTATCGCACATATCGTTCTTATGTCTATATATCGGAGTTGGTATTTCATCCCCTTCATCCTCGGATGCATAGGTAAGCAAAAAAAAGCAAAAAAAGCCTCCAACTCAACCCCCGACTCCCAAATTAATTCAGGCTTTCTAATAAGCAATCCAGGCGAAGCAGCAGGCTACTACGGCCGCGCCTGGGCGCACGACAACATCCGCAACGGCACACCCTACCTAATCCAAATGATGCTGATCCTCGGCTCCGCACCTCTCCTCGCAGCAACCGTGTACATGACGCTCGGCCGCCTAGCTCGCAACCTAGATGCAAACGACTACTGCCTCATCCGCTCGACCTGGATTTCCAAAATCTACATCGTCATCGACATTGCGAGTTTCGGGTGCCAGATGGCTGGTTCCGCAGCGCAGGCCAGCGGACCCGAGGGAGCTTTGCAAGGCATAAAGATTGTAAAGATTGGGCTTTCGATTCAGCTTGTCGCGTTTGGGTTGTTCCTTGTTATGGTTGTGGTGCTGCACACTAGACTCCGCGGCAGTCCCTCCAGTGTCTCTGAACGGCCACGTGTGAGCTGGGAGAAGCACTTCTACGCGCTGTACGTAGTCAGTGTTTTGATTGTTGTACGGAGTCTGTTTCGCCTGATTGAATTTGCTCAAGGTCCGGATGGCCATATTCTCAAGACGGAGTGGATGATGTATGTGTTCGACGCTTCGCTTTTGCTGGCGAGCACTGTGTGCTATGCAGTCATACATCCTGGCAGGCTGTTCAGATACATTCGGAAGGTCGACGGCTCGGCTTTTGAGAATAGCGATGATGGACGTGTGCCGCTTAACAAGTACGCTGGGAAATGAGGGTGGCGGGCAAGCGGGGCTATCGGGCGCAGGCAAAGGACAAATGGGTGTCTGTGAGTTACCCCCTCGAATGGACTATGGTATTTCAGGAAGAAGATGAGCAAGCGAGCTAACCAGTAAGAGCGGTCTTGAAGATGTACTCTAACCGCTACAATAGAGTGTATCTTTTTATAGATGATCAAATTCGATCAATCACATGGAGATACTTCGACATTGGATGGAATTGGGAATCTAGGCTGGCTCTGATTGCAATTCGGATTGATTGTCGACAATTTACGCTAAAGCTATCAATGTTTGACTGGTTGCTAGAGGTTTGGTCTTCTGCAGCCGAGGACCTGGCATGTCTCCTCAATCGCCGTTACCAGAGAGATCACTTTCGCAAGTAGCCCCGAGACCGGGAATTCCCCACCTATGGGGATTGGCTAGATTGGAATATAATGTAGATCACGGTATTGTCCCATGTCGAATATCATTATGTTTCAGGAGTGTTATTTCAAAAACCTACATGTTTGCCATCTCAGGGTTTGACCCAACTTGTTCTGTTTATTGGCCACTCCAACCAAGCCCTATATTCCGTTGGCAGCAAATCCCAGATCCCGCTCATGATATGGTGTGTCCATCCTTGCATGTACCAAAACTGTTCTAAAGCACGAATAAGGACCAAAAAGTGCGCATAGATGATCATAGGGATGGGATCACGCTGCTGCATCCGCTCAAGAAAGTCGTCCGTCACACGGTAGAGCCACCCAAAAGTCACGTGGTACTCGTCCTCTCCACCTTGATACCGATTGTTGTACATCTCTTGGAGTATATTGACAGCCTCGACATCGTCCCTGTAACCAGGTGAATCCTTTGATACAGACTTCACAAGCTCCATCAGTCTGTCGAGCTGCTTCTCGTATTCTTCGGGTACCCCTAGGGCTGGCAACGGAGGTAATACTCCGTTTATTGAATATGGGCGGGTCTTGTGAGATGGCAGACGTTGAATGTTTGAGATGGTTGATCGAATGCCGCGGAACATGACCAACCAATCTGATTTCTTATCTCGTCCAAAGGCAAGATATTCCCCAGGTTGCGGGCCCCGACTCCAGCCGATAAAACATATCAATTGTTCGGCAAGCAATACTGCATCAGAGTTGTCGGAATTTAGGGTTGCAATCTGTGGTGTAACCAGAACCAGAGCGCGCTCGTAGTGGTGGTCTGCCATCGCGAGGTATGCCTCTTTGCGGTGCGGACGGCAGTGTGCCAGATGCATTGCTGCGAATGCCAGCATCAAGTGCAGAACGTATGGGCTCTTGAATCCGATCTCAGCCATTTGGTTTTGCCGGGAGACACCTCCACTGGGCCATGCTGAAAGGGTGAAGCAGGTTGATGTTGCATAGTGATACGTGAGCTCGATCTCGGATATAGGCAGCTCTCCAGAGATAGAATTGAGGCTGTTTTCTCCGTGGTGCTTGGGTGAGGAGGTCGCTGGTTCAGTGAAGTCGCAACGTACTTTTCGATACTGACAGTTGCCACAACCTGGCTTCGCCTCGTCGCACTACAAACGTTAGTGTTAACAGCTTTTTATTGCGACAGCCAGTGCATTTAGGGCCGGGTCTCGGATGCTTCCTGCAGACCATCTATGGCTTCTCTAATTACTAAGCTCCAGCCCTGCAAAGTCTATTGCCTTGTTCAGGGTGTGCAAGACCTAACAATTGTCGTACCTTAATGCGACGCGACTTGCAATTCTTACAACCAGCACGCGATTTGCGGTGTGATCGTCTTGTTATCTTCCTGATGGTTTTGTCGCCTTCATTCGCAGAAGGCGATGCTGTGTTGGATTGCGTGGTGGACATCTGGCGGGTAACTAAGGGGAAAAGAATGTCTTTGGTGAGAGGTGCGCGTATTTGAATACGAGAAAAGAGCGTGCGCGTATCGGGATACGAGGAACGCGGGAGACTAACATGGGCCATGCATTCCCGCCCCACTCGCGACGTCGCCGCTTTAAACTCTCATGGATCACTAAGCATTCTCAAACGCTGCCTAGGCTACCTAGATTTCTCTACCATAGCAAGACCAGGCAAGGCAGACACACTCATGCTGGTTTGAATTTTCACCTTGTCATTTGGATGCGATGTCTGTAGGCCACTATCTCCAGGGTACGACACCAGCAGGTCCTGACCGAGGGGAAGGAATAAGAATCAACTTTAAGGCTTTGCTGGGACTCAGAAGAGTCAGCTCTGTTTCATGAGAGTAATCTCTGCTTTGCGATAACCTTTCAAAATACCAAAGCCATCAGGCACGACTAGATGCATAACAGTGTGATGGAAATGCCTAGAGAACCACACGACCAAGACGTTTTACCAATTGGCATCAGGGTAACGGCTCCAAACTCCGCGCAGTAAGATCTACTGTGAGAAATATGGGAGTCAAATTCTGGATACACCACCAGTTCCCAAACTCAGCAGCTAGACCGGTAACCCGGGAGAGCCTCCTAGTGTTTGTTTTGTAACACCAACTATCATTTCTCACAACTGCCAGCAGAAATAAGCTCTCATGAGGATCGCACTTTGTTTTGCTAGTCCAGTAGTAATGAAATCGACCGATGCACCTTCGGAGACAGGATGCAAGTATGCAGAGCGCCAGCGGGGATGTAAAGCACATATCGCTTTCCAGGCGCACTGCGTACATCAGGTCTACCTTGCAAACTAAATACGGTGAATGATGTCTGAATGGAGTGTTGGAACGAATTAATTGCGACCCAGGAGGCGGGAGAGTGATACCTTCGCTACCTGCAATGTTGTCTTTTTGGATACCTCAATAGAAAACGTCGTAGTTGTCAAAGGTAGAAGTAGTGGAGTAGATAACGACGAAGCTACTGATGCTGTTTCCAGGGTTGAGCTCGACAATGACTTGCTGTACAAGAGTCTCGACTTCATCTGATGTTCCTTTGAATGCCCAAAACATGTGGTCGAATGCCATATCGTTAAAAGGCTGCTAAGATGCAGGGTTTGGAAAGGAATTCAGCTGCAACTGTTCCAGTGCTACATTTGCGGCACTCACGAACTGCCCATCAATGAGATCCGAGAGATGACTCAGGTAAGTTGCAATAGTTCTCTAAGATGCTTCGTGGCTAGCGTCGATACCGATCTTGGGATTGAGTCAGTACCTACACGAGTATCGATCATGCTGTTATCTTGACATGTCACTCGATGGAGTTCCAATACTTCACTCGCATAGAGTTTGTCAGTCAGCGCAACTTCATTCTAGTATGACATCATATTTTCAAATGTCACATCGGTCAGATCTGTACTATACCCATATAGTCGCTTTCAATATTAGACTACAGTGTGATCGGTATGTCTCGCACAGACTGGCGCGTATGGTTGGCTTGGCTAGCGAGCAGTCGACGCCATGGTGTTTCGCTCACAAAATGCAACAAGCAAACACAATCCCTAGGCTCTTCTGGATCCGTAGGCCTTGTCCGGACATTACAAAAAAAAACCAGAACTCCAAGCAGCTATACTTACTCCAAGCAACACAGCTGACATGTTAGTACTGGAAAAAGTACCAGATCCCAGACCTGTGGTTCGAACTAGCCACGACATGTGACACCTCCCAAAATAGGTTAGAGAATCTTCATATGCAAGACAGCACGCTTCGGGAACGGACTTCCGTGCCTTTGGTTGATGCCTCTGGGTGCATCTCCATGTGTATCGTCAACTCTGCGTCTACACAGCTCTGCAGTGCTACGTCGGTAGTACTCTATGATTCACGTGCAATAAGGGTTGAAAGTTCAGCGGGGTCCCGTTGTTCCGTCGCCACAACCACCACCACCGCACTGCTTTAGGTAACAGTAGTGCGGGATATTACCAGAAGGAAAATCCGATTCGACGACAGAGCTTTGGCGCGTTCAGTTTCCGTCTTAGTTGTTCAGCCACCTGTGATTCGGGCCCCTCGGTAGGCTTCCAATTACTCATTTTCTTTTGTTTTCATAGCATGCGACCATGACTGGCTGTCGGCTTCTACTGCTGACTATTGTTAGTTCAAAGCCGAGTGGCTTTGGCATCATCCTATCAGGGCAGAGTTGCGTTAGTTTTTTGTCTCAGTTTCCTTTTGTGAGAACAAAGCATGCGGTACGTTTAATTGCCGTAGTGAGCGGGAGCCAGCCGCGAACTGACCCTGCTGAGAAGACCCTGGCGGACCAGTAGCTCACTCCGTGTGTACAAGTGGGCAGGCGTTCCTAAAAAGGTCTTGCTACTGTGCAAAAAGGGGGCCGCAGGTAGCCGTCTCGCGACCGGCGGCAAAGAAGAGATGCTGAGAGACGAATCTAAGGTTCGCGACGGACCGGACACCGTCTACATTCGAATCTGTACTATATTCTTCCGCTTGTACGTATTCGTTCAGCACATGTGAAGACGTGTCATGGTAAATGATGATCGTACAGGAAGTTGACTCGCTGCCACGATGACATATGCGTGCGATTTCGCCGCATCGGAAGATCTCGTCTGATTCGCCCGGCTACATCGCCAAGCCGCGATCTTGGTGCATTTCGATCCACCTGGGTTTCTCCAAAAGCAATTGCTTAACTCCTGACCATTCATCTTGGCGTACCACATAGGACAATGCCCCATCCGCCTCACAAGGCACCCTGAATCATGTTTACATTGCGCCTCAGGACTCAGAATAATACTATAGTGTCTTCAGCATCGTAAGCCATTGATTAAAGGAGTATCTGCGTCTCTTTGCGATAGCAATACCTCATCTTAGAGCTTCCGCTACGGCGTTCGGCAGCAAAAGAATCAGGGGGGCTCGTCCCGTCCCGTACCCACAGCCACATACAAGCCCTGTGTCCCGGCACGTGCCTTGTGGCATTCCCAATTCTGTCCAGCCAAATAGAGGGGAGCACGCCGTCTACAGGCTACGATGCATACATGCACATGTGTGGTAGTGCTCGGTCCGAATTCAGTACTGTGTTAATTTGGCATGACGGAAAACCGGCAAGATCTTCATGTTACATCGCTAATTCGGACGTTAATCGAGGAGGATATGCGCAGGGCTAGACAATGAGTGGTGCACGGTGTAATCGCGAGGGGCGGGAGAGCAAGGGTCCGGAGATCTTCATGTCAGTGCTCTAGTTTCTATCCACAATGAGTACTCGGCGATGAGTTGTGCAGCTGAGTTACCAAAGATTCTGCATACTAACATGTGTTAGTCCTAATGATTTCAGCCCCTGCGAAGATCACAATGTCTATGCAATATGTTTTCGCTGGGGAGGATACTCTCTAAAGAGCTCAAGGTCGGAATGATGAAAGTCAGTGTAAGCTCTGAGGAACTTCATGGCCACAAAACCACAAGTTCTAATGCAAATGCTTTGGCTGCTTCTACAAAAAGTAGAGCATAGAGATCTTCCTTCGGTCCAATCAAGCGTGACACACGTGGAGTAAGCTACAAAGAACAAACGTTAATATCAACCCAGCCACGGGACTGACGGCGCTACGCACATGGTGATTTGGCACCTATCACCAGTAACACCGCCTCGCCGATTACCGACGAGTTGCAAAGATCGACATCTCAACAGATGCATGTGGGAGATCGACATGCCTAGTGGCATTTGTCCTTGAACATCGTGGTAAACTACAGCGAGTGTCTACACTGACACTTGGACAACATCAGATGTATATAAGCCCTCCAGTCCTCGACAGAATCAACTCATCATCCAACTCCATCTACAATCCTCACTACTACCTTATCAACACTCAACCCAAGCTCAACAACAAAAGCTTCTTTTACAACCGCAAAAATGGTCTCCATCCGCAACATCTTCACTGCCGCTTTGGCTCTCGCTGCTCCCATCTCTGCGGCTATCACTCCCGCCCAGACCGTCAGCAACATCAAGATGCTCACCTCCAAGAGCCAGGCTCTCCAGGCCCCTGCTCAGTCCATCACCATCATCAACGGACCTCTCATCGTTATCGGCCAGGGACCATTCCCCCAGATCATTGCTGGCTTTACCGACATCATCACCACTGTCACTACTTCCATCGCTCAGATGGATGGCTCTGAGCCTGTCAAGGCTGGCCCTGATTCCGACGCCATCTTCGACGCATTCCGTGAGGTGAGTACAATCTCCCCTCGTAATGAACAAAACTAACAAGAAAATCCAGTTTGTCCGCGTCCACCAGGTTCTCCTGAACATCCTTATTGGCAAGGCTGGCCTCTTCACCACTGTCCCCATCATTGGCCAACCTGTCGCCGCTGTCCTCAGACAGCTTGAGGGTGTTGTCGACGTAAGTGAATCCGCCACCTCCGTCTTCGCTTGGAAACTCACAAGCACTGTACTAACTCTACCCTTCAGACCATCGCTTTCATGCTCATCGACAGCGTCCAGTCTCGTTCTGCTGACCTCATCAAGGAGGCCAACAACCTCGGCGCCACCCTCGACGTCTGCATCAACTCTTACCAGGGTCTTGCCTAAATACCTTCCAACTGAGTAGCCTGGCCCCTCAACCAAAAAGACCGTTCCATGGGGATTTTGCCTGGCAACTCCCAGTGAAGATACCGGTTCTGGAAGATACATGAATAATGGACAGTGGTCATCAAGCCACTATGTTGTGATGGGAAAAAAAGGAGTAGTTTTCTTCAGCAGAAACTACCTCTAGTGCGATTCTTTTCTTCTGCTGTATTCGATTGTTTATACATGGTCGCCCTTTCTGTTAATAACTTTTTTTGGGAATATACATATATTTGGTTACGGGACTTGCCTATTTATTTTTTTTGCATTGCTCCAGGCGGTGAAGTGAAACTAATGACAGCTTAAGCGCCTTGCTTCTGATAGTGGTTCCATAAAGAATCGAATAAAGGTTAAGGATCTCCTCCACTCTAGTAGACATTTTCTTCTTCTTCTAATCCACTTAGATGCAGTCACTGATTGTGAACACTGTTCTCTCATTTCTATACCCCCCAATCTCTATCTAAACCACCAACTGCGCATACTCATCACAAACCTCGGTCAACTTCGTCCTCGTCCCCGGCTCCATAACACTATGCCCCGCATCATCAATAAAAAACAGCCTACTCTCCGGCCACGCCTTGTGCAACTCCCACGCCGTAATCGGGGGACAAACAACATCATACCTCCCCTGCACGATCGTCGTCGGAATACCCCTAATGCGATCCACATTCTCCTTCCTTAACAACTGCCCATCCTCCAACCACGCCTTGTTCGTAAAATAATGAATCTCAATCCTCGCATGCGCAAGCAGATATTCGGGTTCCTCTAGCTTCTTCATCGCATTGGGGTCCGGATACAGGGTACTTATAGATATCTCCCAGGTATTCCAGGCCGCGGCTGCGGGGTGCGAGATAGCAGGGTCAGAAGACATGAGGCGCTTGTGGTAATTAGCGATGTGGTCTGCGCGTTCTTCCTCAGGGAGAAAGTTGATAAAGTCGTCCCAGCGGTCCGGGAAAAGCATGCTGGCGCCGCCCGGGTGATTCGTCCATCTAAGCTCGAGATCACGGACTGTGAAGATGCCGCGCAGGACGAGGCTGCCGACGCTGGTAGGATGGGTTTGGGCGTAGGCGAGGGCGAGGGTGGAGCCCCAGGAGCCGCCAAAGACCATGTGCCATTTGGTGATTGAGAGGTGCTTGCGGAGGGCTTCGATGTCGGAAACCAAGTCCCAGGTTGTGTTGGCTGTTGCGCTGGCGTTGGGGCGGGATTGCCCGCAACCGCGTTGGTCGAGGAGGATCACGTGGTATACTGATGGGTTGAAGAAGACTGTGTTGCTTTTGGAGCAGTTTCCTCCGGGGCCACCGTGGAGGTAGATTACTTCATGTGGTTAGAATGCGAATATTTTGTAGAGATTCATTACAACACATACCAGGTTTTCCACCCTTTTTGCCGTACTGTTGATAGTATAGCTCGTGGATGTCGTCGACACGAAGCCAGTCAACGTTCCAAGCATCTTCATGCTGGTAGCTGTGTATCTCAGGAGCCTGAGCCATTATGATTGATATTTTGCTTTGAAAATTGGGGGCAGAGGTTTTTGTTCTCTGGTTACTGTCGCTGTGGAATAAGCAGGCAGTCGCGATGAGGAGTCAGAAAAGACACTACCCCGCTTACAGCATAGTGACCCCCACTATGTCAAGAGCACCTTCCTAGACAGGTCGAGGCACATTACAAAAAGAGAACACATGGAGGAAGTGAAGTCATTACATTCATTATCTTATACAACAAGAGTATTCTGAGTAAATATCAACTCAGAACTTGAATCCACCAGTCCTCGTACTGAACAAGCCATCAGGGTCGACGCTCCTCTGCAATGCCTTGAACTTCTCATAGTCCCGGTAGCTTTGTAGAACAGGCTGATCAAACATAGCATCGTTCAAGAAGAGTGGCAGGTAAGTATCCAGGGGCATCCCTGCTTCTGCCATCCACTGCGGCACAACCTCGTCTAGCCAACTCGTAACCTCTCTGGCAATCTTGAACGCAGCTTCATCATCTGATGGCAAGTTCCAGGCTCCTTGGTAGATAAGTACTATGCGGTCGGGATCAGAAGCACCGAGACCCATGGCGTTGCCGCCTTTAGCCGCCGATTTCTTGCCAATTACAGATGGAAGAGGCTGGAAGTCAACGCTGAACTGAACACCGCGGACCACAGGGGGCGTATTCAGAAAGAGGGCGGTGGTGTTGGCGAGCTTCTCGCTGATCTCCTTGTACATTTGTGGACGAGAAGCAATGTATGGGATTGTTTTAGTCTTTTGTACGATTAGATTCTTGCTGAAGAGGATAAAGAATAAATACTCACGCGGAAGAAGGAACGAGCATTCAAGAGGCGAACTGGTTCACCATTGGCCCTTAACTACACGTAGTTAGCATGTTATCGTAACAGTGACACAGATATTTGAAATTACCAGCTGAGAGTACTTCTGCCTCTTCGGTAGACAAGCCAGGTTGAGGATGTTGAAGAACTGGGCAAAAGGACCGGACGTAGGCGGCGTAGGGCCGTCATAAAAGTAGTATATGAGTTTGGACCTCGTGCCAACACCCAGTACCAGGTCAGTGAAGATGATGGCCGCCTTGGGATCTTCGGCACCATGACCAACGAATTCATGTAGTGCAGCATAGAGCTCGTCTGCCTTGGTCTCATCGTATGCGCAGGATCCGCCCCATACGTCGTCCATGTGGTGAACCTTGGCTTTAAATTGTGTGACAATGCCAAATTGGTTGCTGCTACCACGCATCGCCTGCGCGAGGTCTGGATGTCTTGCGGCATTTACGTTTACAATGGAGCCATTAGCCATGATTGTCTCCCATTCAATAATGTTCTAGCACGTGTCAGCATGGTGTCTAACTAGCATCAGTCGGCGACTGACATCGGCAGCAAGGCCTTCTTGAGCACTGAGAAAGGAGAGACCTCCCCCTAACAGTAGCCCACCAACACCAACAAGACCTGGATTGAGTAAGCGAATATCCTGCCAAGGCGCGTATATGACTATACCAAGTCTTCCACCAGCAATGGCTACCCCGCTTTGTTCGAGATCACCTATCACGTCATTCCACTCTCCTCCAGGGCGGACGTAGGCTACATCCTCCTGTGCGTCATAGCTTGCTCCAGCCAGGTCGGTCATGGTGATGAGGACACCATCTTGGACAGTGGAATGGTCTTTGTTAGGGTCATGACCACCACTGCGAGTAGCAAAGCGGACTGTCGGGTACTTGTTCAAGATCTTGATGACAATGGAAACATCCTGAGCAGAGTTGGGCTGTACAACACATGCTGGTTTGATTTCTCGAAGATTAGTAGCCCAATACTGTTGTGTCTCATACTGGTATTCCACTGAGAGAAGTCCTGGACTTAGGGTTTTGCCGGGCAGAGAGTTGGCTATCTCATTGCAGGCTTGAGTAGTTGCGTCTGAGGGGAGACCGTAAGCGGTCTGGGCACCCAGTAGCAACGCACTGACTAGGGATGCGAGGCCGGCCATGGTGGACAAATGTGGAAGGACTAAAATGGAGGAGTGCCAAAATAAGAAACAAGCCTTGCTGTCTCTGTGCAATGCCTGAGGAAACTGTCAAATATATACAGGGACATCATATAACGTCGATTCCAAGTCTCGACATTGGGCCGAGATGCGGCTGTCAAAATCGGTCTCAATCTAGAAAAATAACATGGTCTCAAGAGAAGTGGAAATACTGTGGCTTGGATACGGCACACGTGTGTATGCTGGAAAGTGGAAACCTCCATACCAAACACAGGACGACAGGACAGCTTTGAGGAAAGATCAGCAACAAAGTCCGAGAGAGTTGCCGGAAGCGAATTTAAAAGTGGATTAGACTGGATGCAAGTTGTCTCAATGTCTCTATCGCGAGCTGAAACTGGAATTTAGGCTAGCTGTTGCAGTCTAAAATGCCAATAGAGATGACGCGGGGGCTGAATTGAGGCGTGCGTGGCAATCTAGACAGGAATCGAAAAGTCTGGGTCAACGGGCAAAAGCGACCGAAGGCCCCACAATGACTGCGATCTGGCGGTCGATTCGAATTTTATGGCCGAGCCGGAGTCCATCGTACATCGTGGAAGACATGACTTGACATGACTAGAGTAGACAAAACGGGCACACCGGTGACTAGAGGTGATTAGTGACGTGACCTGTGTGACACGAGCGTGTTCGGGAGTGGCTGAAGATGAAAGTCGGAAGACAATGGCATGGTTGTGGAGAACTGGCTGCCGAGCACTATATACGGACACGGAATACGAGTAGCATTTAGGTCGTTTACAAGCGGGTGCAGCAGGACGGGAACCAGGGTCTCGGGTGAAGCACGGCCCGAGCGCGGTAGCTGGGTTGCTCCTTCTAGAACCCAGCACTCAGGGTAAACAAACATTGGACGAGAGCAAGCCGCCACAACGTCGCGTCTACGCCCACGTCCGCGTCTGACGTCGACAACGGAACACCACCATGGAGTCATACAACCTCAAAACTGCATCGACATACATCAACAACCTGCTGCTGTCGCGGGGGTTGTTGCGCAATGGCAAGCCCATTGAGTTTGCCCACCCGTCCAGGGGAGAGGGCGGGAAGGAAGCCACCATGGCCCAGATTATCAATTTGATCCACGATCTAATACTAAAGCGCGATGTATGTTGGCCTCAAGCTCTTCTGAGCTGTATTTTCTTAACGAATGTATAGCGCGACCAAGAATATCGTGAGTCCGTCGCTGAGACGCTGCGAAATCTGCGCGCGGATGCGACGCGCCAGACGGCCGCCCTTGAGAAGCAATATGCACGCAATGACGACCTGTCGCGGCAACTCTCCCTCGCCCAGGCCCAGGAACAGTCGGCACGCAAGGCTCTACACACAGCTGAATCATCTGCACGAAAGTTGCGTGCAGAAATGCAGCGACTCAAAACGACCGTGGATCAAGTACGCACAACTTGCACAAACGACGTTCGGAAGCGCGACAGGGAGATTGTGAGGCTAAAGAGCCATTTGACAAGTCAACAGAGGGGCAACAAGACTGGTCTTGTCGGTGCGAGCATCACAATCAACCCAGGCACCATGGGCTTGGGTGGGGCTACAAGCAGCGTGCGTGAGGATGTGCCCAATGTCGACGACCCCGAATATAGCCTGAAGCAGGAGACAACTGAATTTTTGACACACCTCAGTCAAAGCTTAAGCGACGAGAACGATAGTCTTATTGGGCTTGTACGAAGCACACTTTTGACGCTGAAGGAGCTGCAAGGCATGTCGGAACAAAACGCAAGAGCCGACTCGGAAGAGGGATCTGACTTTGGCGAAAACGATGACAACGATGAGGGCACAGGACAAGGCATGTTGCACACGCTACCTACCAACTATGAGGCCTTGGCAGATGACATGGACACGGTGCTGGACAACTTGAAGAACCTACTCACAAATCCAAACTTTGTGTCAGTGGAAGAGGTGGAGCTGCGCGAAGAGGAGATTCACAGGCTACGCGCAGGGTGGGAGAAGATGGAGGCCCGATTGCGCGAGTCCTTTATGCTCATGGACTCTTGGAGGAAGCGCATGACCAATGGCGACACCATCGATCTTGAGGAGCTTAGAATGGGCCTAGGATTTGGACAAGGGCTGGACACATCTGACAGGCAAGGCATCCCCATCATTGAGGAAGAAGAAGAGGACGAGGATGAGGATGAAGCCGCCAGTTCAGTCTTCGACGAGGAAGTAGATGATACAGATGTCCCACAAGAAGACGAGGACGAGCAAAGCGAAGTCGAGCATGAGCCTTCACCGGAGGTAGAGGACATGGCGCCAAAGAAGAATAGCGCCGACATGTTCAAGATCAAGCTGCAACCCACTCCAGCAGCGCTACGAGAGTCCAATGGTAACAAGTCGCTAAGCCGATCGCCGCGAAAAGTTGCCTTCTCACCATCTATCCCCAACACGCCATGTCAGGTGGAAGATGAGAATGCAGAGGAGTCTGGGATTGACCTGGTAGGTGCGGAGAAGTCGAGTCGCTCCAGCTCGGCAGTCAAGCCACCTACTTCTGAAGAACGGGCACCAAGGCGGAAAAGTCGAGATGATCGCACACCCCGAAGCGTACGTAATGACAGGCTGACGAAGCATATGGTGAATATGGGCAGCATAGTCTTCTTTCCTTGTCGTCTTGTCTTTGTCATGCGGCCGATGAGCAGCGCTTGTTTAATCAGACCATGCATCTAACAGTTTTGAGCAGACTAGAAAACGCCTATCGAGTCCACGGGCACACCCTGAGGAGCCGTCGCCGAAGCTAACTGTGCAAGACAAACTGCGAGACGCCTCGGAAGCGGCCGCTGCAGCCGAAGTCGAGAAGGCTGCCAGCCCCACCAAGAAAACCGACAACAGGGGCGAAATGATCAATGAGGATACGGGCAAGCGCGCACCTCGGTCTGCAACCAAGTCCAGGGTTGGTGGTCGACCGCGAAGAAGAAAGAGCACCCTTACGGCGGACGAGCTAGCGAATCTTTTGGGTTGCTGAGTGAGTTGAAAAAAGTGTTGTGTGTGTACTACTATCATCTTGATTTATTTTTTTTAATTGCAGCGGAGCAGATAGTTGCCTGATTTTGGCACTGCTATATTATGGCCAAAGTGGTGGCATGTCACGATGCAATCATTGTCATGAGCATGTTGAGAGACTAGTCAGTGGGATGGCTGGTATGCATGACTACTGCTCCTTCTCATTGGTGCACTGTCACTAACGGTGCACCTGGGGGGTTCACGCACCGAGAGCGGGCGCGTATGTACGCCTGTATGCACGCCTGGGCCATGTTGGCCGTTATCGAGTCTAACATCACTAGAACACTGCGGGCCTAAAAGACTCGGGCATGTATATGTGCGCAAGACATTAGAGTCAAGAAAGAGATGGCAGCAGGACATGGATGATGGCATAGAGGGTAGAGAAAGGGGCTTTGGTGGTACGAGGGCTAGGCGACATGCGGCCTTGTTGTTGCACCTCATTGGCAGTATTCAAATTGCGAGGCTTTCCAGACTTTGTGCCTTTGCGTACCTGATATTGAAAGTGGTGCCCCACCACATCGCGTATGTGTCCCCCTGTAGGTTATTCTCCCGACATGTCTGTTTAGCGAAGCCTATGAGGCCGCGTGCGCACAAGGGCTGCATGTTATGACGATATGCCGGGGGTTAAGGCCTCAGGTTTGAGCACGAAAGTGGCTTACGATGCAGTTGGGCGAAGTTGGTGATGGGCAGCTGTGGTTGGATGGGACGACAAGCCACTAAAGATTATTAGCCGCCCATGTTCCCAATTGGGGATATTTGGTGATGAGCCGGAGATGGTGAAAGGAATGCCATTGGAGAGGGCGGGGCATATGGGCCGATAATGTCTGTAAATAGGTCTGTATGCGGCAGAGAGGAGATGCTGCAGGCTGGTCAAGGCAGAATCCTGGGAAGCAAATTTGTCTGCATCCGTCTTCTGCTCAGTTCGCCCGTCCATCATGCAGTGTGAAGAGAAACTTGTCTGCAGGCCGCACATCCCGACATCACATGGTAGAGGCACAGTCGCTGCTGATTGGCCGCATGTTTTCACCCCAGGTCCGTGCGCTGCGTGACGACCCACCCGTGTATTCCCCGCCCACATTGGCCACTCAGCGCACAGAACAATGACGCCCGGCTACACACATCAAAGCCATCAACCACTCCCGCAACACCGTCAAGCGCTCGCCGTACATTCGATAGACTGCTCTCCACACCCGCTACCGGCCTGCACCCTGCCCAGATGGCGTGGCTACACTGCGCAATCAATCAATCGCTACCGGATCCACCCATGCCTGACCCGTACGCGGCCTAGTCCAATGTCCGCCCGTCAGCCCCTCGTCAACGCCCAATCGTCGCCCGGCTTCTGTGTGATGCATCTTCTATACATAAGTAGGCCTGGAGCCGCTCCCATCTCGTCTTTTTTTTCTTCAGCAAGTGTGTCAAGTTCAGAGTTGTTGTGTTCGTTTTTTGTCTATTCTTTTTTACCCCTCCCCCTTCTTCCTCCTACCTACTCTCCTCAGGCCTGGTGCCATCTAATCACTACACTACCGACAACCCGTTTTACCCATTCCCCCATTTTTTGCAATAATTCAATTCCTTGTGGCCGGTCCACCCCAACGTAATACTCAGCTCTACTTGCTCGAAACGAACTTCCAAATCACACCGACAACACAACCTCGCAACCCTTAGCGAGATCCTCGACATACACACACACAGCCTCCTTAGCAATCTTGACGTCTATCCATTAGCTTGGTATCGGACGAATCGAAAGAAAAAAAAATTACATCATAATACAAGTTTTCTACACAGAAAGAAAGAGATAACATCACAATGGCCGCTATCCAGCTCAACTTCACTCTCCGCACTTCCGCCAACTGCAAGACCGTACATCTTCTCGGCTCCTGGGATGGCTACCAAGGCCAACTTCCGCTTTCCAAGGACCCCAAGAAGTCTGGTGGCTGGGTCGGATGCTTCAAGTTCCAAGGACAGACTTTGAAGCAGGGACAGCGCTACTGGTACTACGTATGTCTATCCTCGTGGTAACCACTCTTCCCTCCGAGGCTAACGTCTTCCTAGTACATCATCGACGGCTACCACGTCTCCCACGACCCCGCCAAGGACCACACGACCGAACCCACCACTGGCCGCAAGCTCAACATCATCGACATTCCCGCTGCCAAGTCGAGCTCAAAGTCATCCTCATCCAGTGCCGACCGCAAGTCGCGCCGTGTATCCACCGCTTCCATCCCCAAGGGCCGTGGCCTCAGCCCAGAGCGCATCGTCGCACCCAAGCCCCAACGACCACACGAGACTCGCCAAGTCATCAACACGCAGTACGACAAGACCACCTTGGAGGAGCTCAACCGCCGCTTTGCCACCCAGAAGATCGAAGAGTCATCCGACGACTCCGAGTACAGCTCCGACGAAGACTCCGACGTTCCCTCACTCACCAGCCGCTCCACCAACAGCTCTAGCCCGTCCAGTATCAGCTCTGGAAGCTCATGCTGCACGTGCGAACGCTACGGCATCACCCGCGCTGGTGACCGCGTCAAGCTCGACTGTGGTGGTGCGCGCTGCGGATACTCCGACGACTCTTCCGAATGCTCCTCCGAAGACGAGTACGTGTACGAGGAGAAGACCACCCGCCGCCAGGGTGTCGTCATCCGCGCCTAAGCGCCTTCTTCTCTGCCCGCCTCCCCTGGACAGCCATTTTTCCCGTTTCTTCCTTCGCCACCTTGTGCGATAGGGAAAACACAACCAACCTTCTTTTCTGTGAATATTATGATAACGACCCTTTCTTTCTCTTTCTTGTTCATCACCGTCGTAACCTCTTTACCTCGAGGTTCGGCTTTCCGCTCACTTATTCTAATGGATGCGCTTTCTACGACGGACTTGGTTCTTCTAGTTTTTTTTTCGCTGCTGTTTCCCGACTGGGGGAATATGTACGAGCACTCCTTTTTTCACTCATGGCTTATGATTTACCGACAAGCTTATCTTGTTTCAACCGAACATCCTGTAACGACTCCCAGACCAGATGTTCAAAATGTGCCAATGCACGCTCCATGTAGATTTTACTACTACTTATGCCAATCTATGAATTCGCATGGGCCTCGTGCGCGGAAAATAAATACTGCTCTCCTTCTTTGCCTGCTCAGTGATGTTTTGATCGGATGGTTTCATACTGAATGGCTTTGGAATAACTATCAGGAGAGTCACTTGCACGAGACGCTATTCGGATACGATGCGCCAAACTACCGTCTGCACAGCTATTCATCACTACGACAACGATGACGACGACAATTTGAAATAGGGATAAATACCCCCATACCCTTTCATATATACTAGGGAATAAACACCCATTCGCACACATTCACTTGGAAAAAAAAAAGAAAAGCATCAAACCCCTACCGCAGATGCCAAATCACCCGCAGGTACGAAAATGCAAATTCCATCCTAAACACCTCATCAAAAGCCTTCAAACCCGCTTCTAAACCTCCAACAGCCGGAACCTCTCTCTCCCCTTCCCGAGAAAGAGAAAAAAAAAGGAGAGAAACTAATTCCCACAAACCCTCTCTCTTAGTATATATCTTTACTTATAAAAGACCCGATTGTAATCCAACTTGGGCACTTCTGCGCCCCGCTCCCTCCCCTAAGAAAGCTCATCTCGACCAATTTCACCGTAAATGTGTAGTACATCGATCAACCAGCGAGGTAGCCGCAACACACAGCGGCTCTATATATCTTTTCTTTTCTCTTCTTTTGGTTTCTTCATTTTTTTGGTTTGTGGAGATGTGGTCATGGGTTTTGCTGGTAGATTGTGTAGCGTGTATCTGGGTGGTGAGAAGGAATGTCTGCAAGCTTAGCTTTGGTGCGAGAATGGAAGATGGGGAAGGGGTATGTGGAGGGTAAGGTGTGTAGGTGAGTCAATGCTGTGAGGTTTGTTTTGGGAAGAAGTGTTTCTGCTAAAATATACGTGTAGATTGTCTCGCCTTGGAATGTGTGAGAGTCACGTGATTTTATGAGGGGGCGGCGGCGAATTTGGTGGCAAAAAAGAGCTTCCTGAGAGATGTGTCTGATAGAGATAACTAATGCGATTTGTGGGAATATCTTCACTCCGAGTGTACGCCTGGGCATAGAGTCTAGTGGCGATGATACTGTCCAGTGTAATTTGCTATATGGTCTACTCGTGGTTCTGGGGGCTTCATTTGAGGGATATAACGAATACCAAGGTAAGGATTTCCACATGGCTCTAAGCGAGTCTTTAAAGGGGTAACCACCCTCTCGGGAGTATGGACAGAAGTGGGTTGTATTTCCTAGGGCGATAAGGCATGGAATGCTCCTAGAGTTTTACTGCTTACTTCTCTCCCAATCAGATTACAGCACTGGTGTTTTAGCGAGTTTTCTTGGAAGAACTAGTACAGCAACGAGGAGGAACTAGTTATATCAAAGAGGAAGGCTACAAGGCCATAAGGCTGACAAGGCTGACACAGGGGCCCTTGCAGCTTTGGCTGCCGACGAGCTGGAGACGATACACTATGCCGGACCGTGGACCCGCAACCCGTCGTGCCGTGCCATCTCCGGGCAATCGATTTGAACCCGTCGGTCCAGGCCCACAAAGCTGGCTGTGCTGCTCGGTACCGACTGTTAGGATACTTCTCGGGACCAGCTTGTACTATTACCAAATGCGGAAATGACATGCTCAGCCTTATACAGCGAGGCTGTGGCAGTATGAAAAAGGAAAGCGGTGGTTCATTAGAGCCTCAGGCCGGTCAAAGGTTCTTTGCCAGTAATTGGTTTGGGCTTGAAGGCTGATAGGGAAGTGAACAGGGCTAGGCAGCCGGCCAAGAATCAAAAGGCAAGAGATATCGACATGTTGCGAGTTGGAGGGGGCAGTGGGCTTTGAACAACGAGATCTAGATTCCTGATTGGCACGCAAAGATTGCAGTAACAGCAACATTCGAGGTCTAGCCAGCAGGTGAGTAACAAGAGGGACCACCAACCATGAGCCAGGAGGATTGGATGCCTAGCTCTTGAGCTATGACCTTGGAACAGCCACACCACCCCTGCTCCTAAATATAGGAAGTCATGTGGATACCTGGTCTTTCGAGGTGGTCGACCTGCCACCCTCGCGGGCAGAGAAGGATATGGTTTCACCGTATCTTCGCGTTTTCGGAGATACGAGTCGACCGAAACTCTCAGCAGCAACGGAGCAACGGAAGGTTTGTAGATACGTTGTCAAGGCGAATGACATGTGCGCTTGCGTATACCTATGCGTATGCGCCCAAGTTAGTCCTGGCGCCACAGCTAGTATGTAAGGACGTATGTAAGCTGAACGGCCGAGCCATGGAGATGCCGAAGGTCGTTCACCGGCAGATTCGGAAAAGGCCGAAGCGCGAGTAAACGGTCCAGTGGAGACGGGACAAGGTCGACATGTGGAGTAGCGAGAGATTGTTACGTGATTTAGTAGAAACGTGGAGTGGGAGGTGGCGCTTCTCACACCGACGAAACGGGCGAGTGGTAAGGGTCTGGAAGGATGTTTGGTACGGCAAGAGGCGGTAACGTAGTACGCGCACGTGCCTCAAGGGTGGGCCTGCTTAGCCAAGATGACGTCTAGTGAACTTTTCATGCGCCCGTCAACCTTCATGATACTTCAGTTGGATAACATCTGGTTAGTCTGCAGCACACTCTCACCTTGGGTCGTTCAGAGTGTCAGAACTAGGCACGGAGATTTTTTCCGTTTAGGAATAGCGTGCTGTCATCCCGCGCAAGGCAGATTTGGGCGAGTTGTAAGAACAATGTAGCGATATTGGAACCAACGCTATGATGCTAGTAGCGACAGTGACTAAGTAAGTGGAGTGGGTTTACCATCCATGATTCTCCTAGTGCCAGCAAGATATTTGTGAAGAAAAAAAAAGCTTCCAAATCCTCCTGATGTATGTTACAGCCCAATCCAAACGCCAACTGTCCATCGTATTCATACATTTGACCTGTCATGATCATGTCATGACTGTAGATAACTCCGTGACGATGCATGTATTCCTAAGTGTACAAAGAGACGCGAAGTAACAGTGCTGTGGGAGTTGGCGCCGAGTGGCCAGCTCGAAGAGGCCAAGGAGCCGAGCGCGTTGGTAGACGATATTTTTAGAAGGATTTCCATGGCCGTTCTCGGACCAGTATTGAAATTATGTTGCTCTCTCTCTCATCGTAACGGACCAAAAGAACATGAACTGCTTCCGTAGCCAGAATCTGGATGAACAGCAGCATGGTAAACGATGTTGGGTCGGTGGCTACTATGTGTATTGCAAGCATAGCCTACAAGAACCGTCTTTTCCTGGACCATATGCCCTCGCTGGCCATGAGCAACACACGGATCGATGGCGTGTTTGTAGTATAGACATCGGCAAACCGAGTAGCGTTCGACGACTTGATAGCACATTCTTGGGACCGTGCGTGACGATGGATTCTTTTCTCGGTGTCTGAAATCGAAAGCAGCTTTTGAAGGAACGGCTTGAACGCAAGCAAAACAACAAAGAGATTGGTATTGAGGGTAAAACGGTGTTTGGAGTGATTTTTGACTCGATCAGGCGACAGAGGCATATATAGCAGGATGTAAGGCGACAATGTAGACTATGAAGCAGAGTGTGGGTCATACTGCGGATGCATCGTCGACTTGCTGCATGTCATGTCGGCTATGCAAACGGAAAGGACGGGTAAGGACAAGTGCGCAGTCAGCCGGAAGACGCTCCAACGGGATTCTCAAAGGTAGCTAGCAAACCGTTTTGGCCATTGGCTTGTCGGACTGGCAGGAAAGCCTGGGTGTTTGGATAGGGCAGGGGTTTGAGAGGTCGGCTGTTGGAGTCTTTCAGCTGGTAGTGATTGTGCGCCTCTGAACATCATTGGCCCGTGGCTGAGACCATGTGATGGACTCCGAATTGCTCAGCATTTCACCAAATGATGGCCAAGGAGCGCAGCAAAGCAAAAAGGCGGACAAGCGTCAACGGAGATAGTGATTGCACATGGGGGCGGCGGAACCCCCTGCAATGCACAGACCGTACTAGCCATCAAAGGGTAGCTTGCAGGGCCGCATCAAGCTGGTTCGTAGAGTGTCGACACTAGAATAACGATCTGTGCGTGACCTTGTATCTGACAGCCTGGACAGCCAGGGTCAGCTACATGTTTTGACATAGCGTGCTGGTCATGGGTGCGAACAGGAGGCCAGTGACGTAGAGTGCTTGGTCGGACATGTCGCGCGCCATGAGCAGGCGCCGGGCTATTCGGCTGCGATTGATATGTCCGGTGAAGCTAGAATCACTTTTGAGGTCCATTGTGCGAGGGAGGCCGTCGTCTGCCCGCAGACGTGGGTTGTCAAGGTTGGGGGTTCAACGTCGTGCATGGGCGCGGAAGAGAACCGGTTTGACGGCCGCCAAGGAGGCCGACACCTACATAATAGTAGTAGTGGGGCATTACTAACGTACGTATCTGGAGCTTCTGCCCTCTTCCAACCTTCAGACCATACCGAGTATGGCCCAGTTCTTCGTCGATGCCATGCATACTATGTGATCAATTTCCATTCTCTACGATGCACAAAACCCCTTCCTCTCCCACCACCCCCACGAAGTGCATGGACCTCCCATACCATCTGGAGCTTCGAGCTGACCAGCTGAGTGCTGCCTATGGGCTTGCGCATCTGCACATCACCGTACGTTGCGCATCCACATAGGCAGCACATCTATTTCAAGAGTCGACCATAGCGGCTCATCTCACTCCTTAGGTCGACGGCGATTCATACTATCATTGAGTAAGTTTCTGTATTCGTCGTCTGGTAAACGGTATCATAAACACATGGCTGCCAGGCAGGTACACCGCTGGTACTGCCTCATGTGGGCCTCTCGCCAACATCCCATCGCTTCGCCACAACTAGCACAACAGGCCGGTAATCCATCGCTGTTTGCCGATCGCTCCATCAGAACATCGGGAATCGTCTTAGGGCTGAAATCACCGCCACCGGCGCAGTTCCGCCTGTGGGCAACATGCAGCCCTATGCACCATCCCGTCATCTGCCATCACGTGGTGGCGGTATGCCAGTCTTACGCAGCACTGCCTACGTCGAAACATAGACGCCTATCGGCGATGTCCTTGTAGACGCCAGCCTATCTATTTTCTATACCTCGCCAAGGCAATTAACCCTTGCGGGCATCCTAGTCAGAGGATAAATTTACCTCTTTCAGAAGACATTCTCTTAGAGTCATCAGGGGCATAAGCCTCTTTAGCTCCGTTCCTAATAAAAGTATGGAGGGAGGAAGACGCTCCAAATGCGCTTGTACTCACCTAAGATTCGAGTCATGTTGATGGGTTTTTGACATGAAAATACCGTGTCAACACGGTATGTTCGCTGAGGCTCTTTAGTTGGCTTTTGAACCACAATCAACTCGTGTCAGAGAAATGGACAGCCGAAAGTTACGTCAATGTGCGGATATAAGACATAAAACAAACTGGCACCACAACCTGCACATAAAACACTGCCTATGTCGGCTATGAATCAGCAATGCCATCGGCAAGTGTTGGTTCTTGATTGGTTGTTGCACTCTGCGAGATGCGTGCCGATTTACTGCTACGAGCAAATATGCGGCATCTCCCCCCCCCCCACACACACACCATGGCCTTCGCAACCTCCGAATCGTGGTTGGTTGCAGCGCCAATGTGGCAGATCATGCCAACACGATTACCAATACGCCAAGGCGCAAGACGCCACCCGAGATGACAATGCAGCAATAGCATCGTCGTATTCTTTTGTCAGGAAAGGCGTCCTATCACATTCGGATAACACGTACTCAATATTTGAAGAATGTTTTCGAAACTAGACTTCGCGACAAGTTACCATAATCAGCACACGTTACATATGGTACTTCAGGTCAAGGCAACTCTCCACTACGTCAGCTGACCTGCATGGTATGCAGGACACTCCAAGTCCAGTCTCCCTAGCTATGACTAGAGGCCAGCGCACTTAGAATTAGTAACGAGGCGTACTCCCTCGGGTTGATTTCCCATACCGATACTGCACTGCTTTGCACTCACCGGAATCTGAGTAAAATGTGGGCTTGCACGACTCGTACGACTATCGCCAGCATCAGTGACCGATGAATGTGCACACAGGCTTACGGGAATAGCTTGCAATGCACACCGCCTTTATTCAACATCGCCAAATTCACTCAACTCCCACTACGTCATGCAAACAGTAAAGCTCGCATTTTCTTTACGTTGATAGTCGTCGAACAGTGGTACGGTGATTTATTATTCATTACTGAATACGCGTAACTGCTTTACTTTCAATGTACGTTTTATTCCCATCATTTGGGCTTTATGAAATTCCTCGAAGAACCAACAAGCATTCCTCCTTTCTTGTCAAGAGAAGCTGTGACAGCACGACACTGCTACTTTATATCTAGGTCGCCAACCCATGTATTTTTTTTCATTTTCCCTTTTGAATCACTGACATATTTTAACTCTCTAGACCATTCAATTGCGTGCCCACAAAGAATATCTTCAGTCTCATCTTTCAATATTGGACCTACACGTCCACCCACACAACCAACAAAGCGAAGTCTACAAATGACCAGCAAGACGACCCGAGGAATGACTAGTAAAGCGACAAATGAACACATCTCACTATACAACCATTGGCATATAACGGGGTTCGTTCATAATCGCTAACTGAGCACCAAAGAAAAGAAGCGCCTAACACAGCGTTCATCACTTGTTGTGCACATCACCAAGAGCGGTAATTATTTACTTGTTTACTTGCAATTTTCCGCAAGCACGCCATCCCTTCCAACTCAATGTGGGCTTATACATGTCACGGCCAGTCAAGAAAACAATTGAACAATACAACTAATAGCCCCAGTCAGATATCAATAAGGCAAGTCTGATTATGGAATTGTGGAATGATCTTCGCACCAAAAGTAAACACAAGATTGAGGGTGATAGTTTGAGTACTAATTCTATGCAAGAGTAATATAATCCCTCCACCGCATTAAACTAACCAAGAGGTAACAAGAGACCACAGCACAAGGGTATAATTCAAGCCCATTTACGGACCCCAGGTCCCATGGAACCGACCAGTCCAGACCAAGAAAGATCGTTTGGGGGCCCAAACAACGCGGCTATAGCGTCCAGAGAATCATAAATTCGTTATAAAAGTACAGAGGGGGTTGTCGGTCATGAAATGAAGTGAAAGAAAAAAAACAATGAAAAAGGCAACTGTGTTGTCGAATTTCCATGGGAAATATCGAGTTTACAGCATGACGCCAGCAATAACGAGCAGAGCAACAGCGTAGTAGCCAGCAAGGTTGCCAACTGTCAAGCTAGCAGCCGCACCCTCACCGCCAGGCGCCGTGGTGCCATTGGGAAGAGTACCATTGAGGACGAGTGTCTTAGTGCCATTGACATCAGAAACAGTGATGAGCGACTTGTTGAGCGCAGCGTAGCTTCCGTTGCCAACCAGATCATCAAGGTACTGCTGGTCGTCGTTTTCGTCACAGCCGCAAACGCTGAACTCCTGGCAAAGACACATAACAGGTAGCGTCTCATTGCGACCCTGTGTCTGGCGGGTCCAGAGCGACCTCTTTCTGTCGTTGTCATCATCATCGGTAGCGGACTGGTTGTAGAAGCGGTAGGGGTTGCTGTAGTGGTATGGGTAAACGCTGTAGAGCCAGAGACCGGGCATGATGAGGAGGATTGCTGCGGGCGCAAGCAAGAGACCGGGTGAAAGACCCTTTGGAGTCTTTTTTCCGGCGGAGTAAGGTACGGCAGCGCCGCCGCCGTAGTATCGTCCTCCGCCGAATGAGCGTGATGGGCCCGAGCCTGTGCTTGTAGAGCCGCCGGTGTTGGATGTGGGAGAGGCTCGTCCGCTGCTGCCGCTGCCGCCACTGCTGCTACCTCGGCCTCCACCGCTACTACTACTACCACTGCCACCGCTACTGCTGCCACCGCTGCTGCTGCCTCCACTGCTGCCTCCGCCACGTCCACCGCCGCCCTTGCGACGCTCTAGCGTGTGGTCTGGGGAGACGACTTCCGATGCAGGAACGACGCGGCGGTCTTCGAGGATATTGAGCGCATTGCTAAATTCAGGTAGAGAAGCAGCGCTGACTGCTTGCGATGCCAATAGGTAGGCGATAAACTGTGAGGCCTTCATAACGAAGTCGATATGGAACTGTGGTACGGGGTGGCGGCGTGTGTAATGTGCGACACTAAGATGTCAGGCCGGAGTATTTAAACCAAGGATGCCAAGACTACCAAGCAGGTAGGTAGTGATATAGAGCAAGGTATAGAGGCTTGCTGCTTGAAGTTTGTGTCGGAGTTTGGGACACGGGAGGAGGGAAGGGAAGAGATAGATATGTTAGGTATACACGTGAATGGGCAAAGTCAAAGAGGCAAGCGCTGTTCTTTAATGTAAGGTAGACAAGGGAAGCGAACCCTGGAGGATGAGTAAGTGCGCCTGTGCGTCATCAAAGGAAGAAGCCAACTCTGTTCCGCGCCACCTTCTTCTAGCCGTGCTTGGCGGGCGATTTTGGCGTGAATGCCTGACTTGTCGTGGCAATGCATGTCGCCAATCTCGAGGCTAATTTCACTCGTGTTGCCTGTGCTGATGAGCTGTGCAAATTGGCCTTTGTGACCCAAGGCCAAAAGGGCCAGAATAAGGCCGCAAGCGAGCTCCAGCTGAAGGGCTGCGCAGCCTTGTTGCAAAAAAAAAAGCTTGGGCGATGTACATACATATTCTGCAAAGCCGTTTCGGACCCAGGTCCAAATGTATACATGCATGTTTCCCCAGCCGTTTGCAGCCTTACTGTGTATACTGACGCAGGCAATACGTGATGCACCGAACAGAATCTAGGGTCTGGCATGACCTCATGGTGATCCTCATCTAAACGCTAAGACAACACTTCAACCCGAACCGTGTGGCCAAAACACCATCACCGCGCAGCAGCCAACAAATCACGGCTGCCAGCTCAGGCGCATTTGTGTCACTGCGCCTCCATGTCTTTTTGCTGGTCGGTAGATACGACAGTCTCCGCCCGTCAATCAGCGCTGTTCGTGTGCAAATGTGCGCGGGGCGTACCGCGGGGTGACCTCATTCAGTGTGCCGAGGGAATCAATCTAAGTACCGGTGAGCGGTGTCATTGTTGGGGTCGCTTGGCACGTTGTGTTTAAGCACGGCTAGGCAATCACTAGAGCACGCAGGGCGCCCAACGCCAAGCGATACTTGATCGCTGTGACCATACCATTGACTTTTTTTTGTATATCAACTCGTCTATCTCTTGGCCGCCTGTTTCTTGTGCTTGGTCGACTGTGACGCAACTTCACAGTTGCTTCAGGGTTACACAAGTTGTCTTGAAGCATCCAAACAAACGATGCAGCTTGTTGATTGGCAATTGGTATAGCGTCTGATGCCGAGCGTTACCTTGTGCCCCCCTCGCCTAAGCGTGTTCTTCCGCGATGTTGGTTTTATAAACCAGTGTGAGGCTATGCTGACGCCGGTCCAATGCGCTGGATTAAAGGGTGGCGCAATCAGGGTGCATGGTGGGGGCTGGTGCAGCCACATGCTCTTCAGTCATGGGTTGGAGTTATAGTGGAGTGGAGTGGTGGCAGTACAGTAAAGTGGCCATGTGAAGCATCATCGCCCGGGTCCTTGGTCTGGCCGTGGTTCGGGTCCTCCGCCATCTGATACCGTCTGGTATTTTCTGTATTCTTGTTCTAGTTCTCGCTGCATCTCAAAATCGGCTTGACGTTCGCGCTTGATTCTTTGTTGCTCAAAGTCTCGCACAACTCCCATGTGCATGGCCTGATTGATCAGTGTTAGAATTGATTTGCATGCTGCATCCGGATGCGGGCAGTACTGACTGCTTTGTCGGCCTTTTGCGACCAGTGCACGAATGCGACGATACCGACTGCAGTAACGCATGTGGTCGCCAATGTGATTTGCGATGCCCGGGACATTGTAGAGGCCGTCGAGTGGTGCGCAGGTGGAGGTCGAAGGCACTTTTTTGAAATTCGTAAAAGTTGCAAAGGAAACTTGAGGCGGCAAGGAGCTTGGACCACAAATGCAGCGTCCGCCAAGCTTGCCGGCTGCATCATGCCTCTCCGCAACTCTACCTTGACATAACCACCAACTCCGCAAAACAAATACTCAAGATGGTGAGCTAGCCAGGGCGCGAAATATCTCGGAAGATGCTGACCTCCATAGTCCGCCCAAAACTCTGCGGGTATCCAGACCCTGCTCGATGTAAGCCGGCGCAGCCCACTATCACCTCCACCATAGCTTACATGGTACATAGGCCGAGCGCGAAGCTCAGAAGATCGTCCAGCAAGGTATGTCGCTTTCACAAACAGCTTTCGGGAGCAATCGCTGACATCAGAATAGCAAGAGAATGTAAATCAGACTGCATACATCCCACCAAGGCACCGCTCTAACCAGCCCAGACCGCACCAAGCGCGTAAAGGACGCCCGAAACGAAGCGCAAAAGGAAATCGACGACTACAGGAACGAGAAGGAGGCCGAGTACCAGAAGTTCGAGAAGGAGGTACGCACTCTAGTTATATCGATATGTATGGGGTATGCAGAATGCTGACAATAGTGCAGCACAGCTCAGGCAACCAAAAGGCCGAAGAGGACGCAAAGAAGGACACTGATGCCAAGATCAAGGAGATTGAGGAGATTGGCAACAAGTCGGGCGGAAAGGTCGTTGACCAGTTGATTGAGGCTGTCATCAGCGCACACCCAGAGCCACCAAAGAAATAAGGACGGATAGCGGCGGGCAGTCCTTCGAAGATGCAAGCGGGTAATCAAAAGCATCTATTGTCAAAGAATCAAGCACTTTGAGCAGCGTAGCAAGCGGTGTTTCCTGTACAGCACCTTGTAGCGCCAAGGTTCAACTATACTTTCCAGTTTCTATGCAATATACGAGACACTACGAGAACAGCCCCAACATGTACCAAATGAAGTGCACATGTTTGCCATGATTACATCAGCAGTGCCTTCGGTGTTTGGTTATCTGCGCGTACCCAGTAGTCTGGATCCTATAACCAAGTTCCCAGATTCATGGCCGCATTTGGAATGCAAGACCCTCACACATGTTTTGAAAGCCATGTTGCTTCCGCAAGGAATATGCGATACGCCAACATCTACCAATACTTTTGAGATGTTTAGCTATAAGCTTCTCCATGCTGTCACGGACCCTGGCCCACGTTCGCTAATGCGCCTACGTCATACATGGAGTGCAACCTCAAACCTCAACGCGTCTCATCATTGCCACTCAACACGCTGCACGATCCGATGATTGGAATATGTATTCGAGCGACTTTGCGCTCTCCTTCATCTAGGCCGCTGCATGTCCTTGCCAAACCAAGTTCTACGTATTGTCGCCAGTTCAGTAGCTCGCAATGGCGCAAAGAAGATCCGCGCATACCCGGTGCTGGTCGCGAAATCGTAGATGAGTTTGCTGTGCTGCGCGAAAAATATGGTACTTCCGCGCAACCCGTTCGTCAGTCTAAGGACCAGCAGCTAATGCCGTCTAGACGCTCCCGTATGCATGCAGATCTACCCTGCATCAGCTCTTCTGACCCTGGTAGAAAAACACTATAGTCCTTGCTCATGGCCTGCTGGGGTTTGATGAATTGCGCCTAGCAGGACAATTCATACCAGGTATTCAGTACTGGCGAGGCATCACAGATGCATTGGCAAAAAAAGGCATTGAAGTCATTGTCGCCGCTGTTCCACCAAGTGGAAGTATAGAGAACAGATCAGCAAAACTGGCAGAGAGCATCGCACTCAAAGCCAAGGGCAAGCAAGTCAATATCATTGCGTAAGTGAAAAGTATAGATCAAGACCCTAGTGGATATGTTGCTAACGCATGGCAGACATAGCATGGTATGAGGCATCAAACGATCGATATGGCATTCGATAACTGACGTTTGGCTAGGGGTAACAACATGCGTTCTTGGCCAAGAAGCATATGCTAAGCTGCAACAGAGGACTTGATTCACGATATATGATTAGCCGTCTTCGACCCACGGATTTCAAGATCCTCTCTCTGACCACTATAGCAACACCTCACAGAGGCTCGGCATTTGCAGACTACATGTTTGAGACCATCGGTCGTACGTATATGAGCACTCCTTGAAGCCACGTACTGACTTGGCCAGCTCGCCAGATTAAACGTATCTACAAGGCCATGGAGTACTTTGGACTTGAGACTGGAGCGTTCTCGCAGCTTACACGGGAATATATGACGACGAGCTTCAACCCTAGGACTCCTGACGTACCTGACATCAAGTATTATTCGTATGGCGCATCCTTGGAGCCCAGCCGGTGGTCCATATTTGCACCGTCACATGCAATTATCAAGCCTATCGAGGGTGTAAATGACGGGTTGGTTAGGTATGTCTAGATGGACTTGAGCAATGGGAGAATGGCTAAGCAATTGAAAAGTGTAGAATCAAGCAGATGGGGTGATTACAAAGGCACGCTGATTGGTGTGAGCCATCTCGACTTGATCAACTGGACGAACCGTTTGAAGTGGTTCTTTTGGGAGCTTACCGGCAGCAAGCGCAAGTATGCACAACCGATTTTGTCTTTGGTTTGAGGTGAAATTGACCATGTTTTAGCTTCAACGCTATTGCATTCTATCTTGACATCTGCGGTAGGCCGCCCATAGTCGGATCACCCTAAGGCTCTTGCTGACATTTTCTAGATATGCTAGCAAAGGAAGACTTGTAATCACTTGTATACGACAGCATGCAGACGGAATGCCGTCGGCTGATCGGCACAATTCAGGAACGATAGCTATGGCTATTTTGTTTGCACAAGTCGAAGGCATTGGGCAGCTTGAAATCCGATGTTCCAAAAGAACAAACTTCGTCCTACCCTTGCCAGATCAGCCGCAAACGGGTCCGTTGCTGCGGCGAAGTACGATACTGCAATCGGACAGGGGTGCTGGCTTCCGCCGGAACTGCGGCTGTAGATGGGGCTGTGTAATACTGCAAGTCATCCAGCATAGGAAAATGGCACCTTGAGAGATGCGCATGTGTTGAGGATGGATAAAATGGGGAGCAGGCAAGACATATGATGAACAATTGATACATCTGGTTACATATGGTGGCTGCAAGTATGCCATTGCCGTGGTGTTGTCGCTGCAGAGCTCACGCCATGACGTCTGCGGGGAGGTTGCCAAAAGAACCCCCGCAGGCATCCGTTTTGCGACATATTTCAGGCTGTGATCACAAACGCATTCAAGACGTGACACGCGTAATTTGGGCTTAGCCGCTGCATCAGAAATGTCGCCAATGCACTTGATTCGGCTTGCACTCCACCAGTCTAGTTTCTGACCTTGACATGTTGCTCCTGTCCCCATAAAGTTTGCGACTTCCTTCCCACCGCGCACCGTCACGACACGTTGAAGCCTGACCTGAGGGCATCATCCTGACAACCCGGTCAGCATACCTCCGCCCAACATGATTGTCAACATCGTGCTGGAGCACCCGCACGATCACTACACCAATCTCGATGTCATCCAAGGCAAAGTCACTTTGCGCGTGCCGAATCCGACAAACCTCAGCAGCATTATCGTCAAGCTCGAGGGCGAGAGTAGGACCCGGCTGCTGGCGCCCGTACATCCAAACAGGCCCGACAAGCAGAGGCCTGTCTTAGAGATACACAAGTTCCTATACCAGACGCTGTTGGTATGGCCAACAAATGTGCGCCCGGAAGATATCAATCCCAAATCAGCTTTTACCATTAATGCTGGCGCATATGAATATCCCTTCCAATTCAAGGTGCGAAGATGCTGCATGCCCATGGTACCATGACAGTCATGCAAGGACTAACCTTGACCGCAGCTCCCTATGAATACGCAATGTCAGCAAACAAACAACCCAATCTCGACCGTTTCGTTTTCAAATACAATTCCCGAGTTCGCAAAGACACCAACACAACACATCAAGGCTACACTGCCGCCCACTTTGAGTGGCTTCCCTGGCGAGGCCGAGATACGTTACTTTGTCAAGGTGACGGTCAGTAGGCCGTCGTTCTTCAAGGAGAACCCCCGAGCAATTGCAAACTTTACGTTTCTTCCGATTGAACCCCCTCGGCCAGAGCGGACAGACGGCGAGGCATATGCAAGAAGGCAGCATGAGTTCTTGGAGAATGCCGTGAGCGTAGCAGCAAGCAAGATGCCCAGCTTCCTGGACCGTAAGAGTTCTTCGGCAAGCATGCGGTCTGCACAGCCGCCGGGCAATATGGGGCCACGGGTAGCTCTTGATGCACGGCTGCCAAACCCTGCAATTCTTACAATCAATCAAGACCTTCCGCTGCGAGTGCTTATCAAGAATGTCAGCCCCCGCAGCAAGAACATATATCTGCAAATGCTGCAGGTTGAGTTGATTGGATATACAAGAGTAAAAGCACACGAAGTGGCGCGTACAGAATCGAACAGCTGGATATTGTGTTCTTTCAGCAATATGGCGATACCACTAGGATCGCCAACAGACCCCATAGACACTGAAGTTCCAATCAATCCCGAGTACTGGTCTGGCAAGCCGGTACCCAATACAGTATCACCCAGTTTCACCACGTGCAATCTGTCTCGCTTCTACGAGTTGGAAGTCCGGATTGGTCTTGGCTATGGGAGCTACAAGCATGGAGAGGACCAACTGATTGTGTTGCCGCTCAGATTGCCAGTCAAGGTGTTCTCGGGCATTGCGCCTCCAAAAGCATTGCTAGAGGCTGGATTTAATGCACAAGCAGCCGGAAAGCCGGCGACACTTCATATCCCGCAGTACGGACAGGCTCTGCATACTCCCCCCTCGCCACAAGTGGGCTTCGCCAACAACAACAACGCGTTTGCCGGGCAGCCGGTACAGGCTCAAAATGCACCATCATACGAGGATGCACCGCCGAGCTACGAAGATGCAGTTGGACAGGACCTTCCGCCCATCAATGGGTATCGGGGTAGCTACCAACCACCTCCTGTGCCCGAGGGCGGGTCTGGATTCGCGGACGAAAAGAGACGATGAGGGGGGTCTGGTCAGTGGCAGGACAAGGGAGAGTCCGGCCGCGGATCGACAGTGCAGCAGTTCTAGAGGGCCAAACAATGGCCAGGAAGATGCTTGGGCCGCGACAGAGGTCTGGAGCGCGTGCGGAAAGCGGATGCAAGAGTGGGGACATGCAAGAGGGTGAGAAGCAGAGGATATGTTTTGGCTTTGTATCCAATAATTGGTCTTGTTAATGGCACTGTGGAAACATGGGGGAGGAAGTGGAGCAGAATGAAACAGTGTCTTTATTTGGCGAGGTGCATGTCGAGGCTGGTGTCCAATCATGAGGGTGCCGTGTTTGATTCTTTTTGCAGACGGGACGGCCCCTTTGGAAGGGTGCGGGGTACGTGTGGTGGGTGTGGTGGTGGGTGTGACCGGTGAGGCTATGTAGACGGCACCGTGGCATGGCGGCAAGAAGCCACTATGCACGCGAGGCATTTACGCGATCTTGTTGTGTTATGTGTGTGTGTGTATGTGTGTATGTGTGTGTTGTGTTTTGGCAATGACAACAACAACCGTGATTGACAAGGCGAGGGGGTGGGTCATGTGACGTGTATGGGCCAGGTGCCAACAGAATGCAAGGCTGGCGTGGTGTTGACACTTGCACTGCCCACGCCACATGGCCCCTCGGCCTCGTCTCGCGCCTTGCCGGCTAGCAATCGATAACCTCGCATCCCACGTTTCTGACGGGGCCCGGTCCGTGAGACAAAAGCGAATAGTCTTCCCAAAAGGTGTTTATTGTTGTCGTCTTTGGTCGAATCGCGTTTCTCCAGGACAACGTGCAGGTCACTAACAGAGCCGACCCGACGCGTCGTGCCTGGCTTGTCCATGGGCTAGCAGGCCTACACGCGCACTCGAGGGCTGAGGGCCAGTCACAGATGCCCAGCCACCGCTTCTTCGACATGGCCGCCAACACCATGCACGACTACTGCAAGTGCTCCATGCACCGTCTCTTTCGCCTCTTGCCCCCATTGGCCGCCCGGCTCCATTTGTTTCAAGCCCGGCCTTGGCTGCAGGTCCACTCGACCACTTGGTCGAATCGTCGCGTCAAACACCATATATACACGTCCTCGCACCGCGACATAGTCGTGTTTTCGCATCTATTCTTCGCCTACTCTGCGTTAACTCCTGGAGATCTGCTGGCAACCTCGCTGGCCCCTACGGGAAACCCATCTTTGACTCACACTTGCATGCTCGCGTGTAGCGTGGATCCCGCCCCGCTTTTTATAACATGGCCAGAGAAGGTAAATACCGTTTCGACGAAGGCCATGGCCCGTTACTTTCGTCTTGTTCCCTGAAGACTTTTTACTTTTTTTTGTCTGTTGCCTTGCTCGAATGCTGGATGTTTGACACGACTCTTACAATATTCTTAAAATTCACTACGAGATTGATTCCCTAGCGGATTTACACACAACCTTGCATCCAATCGATAACCGCTTTTGCATGCCACACCATTTACTATACCCAAAATGTACTCACAGCGACGAACGCCCCCGCCGCTGAAGCGATCCAGTTCAGGAGCAAGCCATAACAGCCATGGCAGTCATGGAAGCGCTGCCACCACTGTGTCGCGATCGAGCTCCAAGCTGCTATTTGGTGAAATTCCACTTAGCCCTGTGACGAGCGCTGATGGAAGATGTAAGCAGGCCTCTGCTGTGACATGCACTCATTCATATATTAACCAACCCAAAGCAATCCCATCCAATGGCTCCATCTGCAACCTGGTGCTCTCTACGAGCTCTGTCTTCTTGCGCTTCTGGCTGAACGATGACTGTCGCGAAAATGTACTTAACCGCGTCGAGTCGGAAGACCTGGCCAATTTGCGCCTTGTATGCCACGACTTTTCGTCAAAGGCCGCACCGCGACTCTTCGAAAAGATGACTGTGACGTTCAAGACTTCTACTTTTACCAAGCCTGCGCGCATGGAGGCGCTTTCAAGGATTGGTCGCCATGTCAAGACCTTTACCTTTTACATGCCCCATAGCCCAGAAACTTGCCTGCCACCCATTATCGACCCATTGACTGGCACAGAGAAGCAATTCCTCTACGAGCCGCAAGTCCAAGTCCCTCAGTGTGGTCCAGCCAAGGACAAGGCACCCAAGTACGGCAGCTGGGAGATGCAAGATCTGCTCATCAAGCAATACCCGCCTCTGTTCCATGCTGCTACCAACGTTCCTGCTTTTTGCGCTGCCTTTTCCGAACTCATTAACCTTACTCATCTCAAAATCTCGTGCCCAGGATCTAGCGGCGCACATAGACATCGCCGTGGTGTTGTAGACTACGCGCTCATCTCTCTGCGCATTGCCATTGAGCGCGCGCCACTATACAGCCTGTCTGCCCTGTCACTTCTTCCCATTCACCCAGGCGGCCTACTCTACCTCCACCCCATGCACGGCTTGGGTAGCACACCATCGTCCGCCAAGCGCTGGCGACAAATCCGCCGGCTCGCCATCTGCATGGAGAGCGTGCCCTTTGCATCCACATCCCTCCGAACCCGCACTCAATCCCTAGAGCACCTCCGTATCCTACACGCCTACCTCGCGACCCTCTCACGCAACCTCACCCGCGTCTTCTTCCGCTGGAAAGGCGCGCGGGGGCCCTCCCCTCTATCCCTCGACCTCGAGCCCTGCATGCTCCCCGCCCAAGACCAAAGCACCCAGCACCCCTCCCTCCGCACCCTCCCCCACGGTCCGCGCCCCCTCACCTTCCCCCGCCTGCGCATCATGGAGCTCGAAAACGCCATCATGGACTCGTACCAAATCACCGACTTCATCCTCAAGCACAACAACACGCTCCGCGAATTCAACTTTGAAGACGTCAAGCTCCGCGAGGGCGACTGGGACATTGCCCTCGAACCCCTGACCTGGATCTCCGGCAGCGACAGCTGGAAGCAGTACAAAGACGAAGTCATGGATGTCCCCATTATGCTGTCTCCGGTTGAGGTTGCTGCGCCGCCACCGCTGCCGTCGCCTGAACCGAGGATTATGGGGCATCTAATGCAGGAGGTTGAGAGCGCGATTGAGATGGCGAGTGGACGGGAGAGGAGAGAGCATGCGCTTTCGAGGTGGTTGGGCAGACCGAGGCAGAAGAGTGGTATGGCACCTGGTAATAAGGATAGCTTTTGGGGTGGCAGTAAGCGGTTGCTGCATCTTTCGGGGTGGAAGCAGGGTGGTGGGGCGGTTATGGCGTGTTGATGTTGATGATGGTATATTCCTCTCCCTCTCTCCCCTTTTTCATTCGTTCTCTTTCCTTGCCATGACTCTCACCTCTCTCTTACTCTGGTCGATTGACCTGTCCTATCGGTTTTAGACTTTCCTTTGTTATTTGTTTTGTTTCTTTGGTGGTTTGTTGAAGTGCGCATATGTTTAGATGATGATGATGACGATGATGGCTCTTTACGACTATGTACATGTGCTTACGATTTCATGGTTGCGTAAAAGACTCGTTGATAGATAGTATGATTCTTGAATAGAAAGATGTCTTTTTTATTCTTCTGTAACATGTCTTGATGTTGTTCTCAAACTCAAAATTCATCGCATGTGTTATGATTGAGTGTATTGACTATATGATCGTTCTCTTAAGTAGCTAGATACAGTATCTTTGCTCAACATTGGTGTAGTGGTCAAAGAAGGAGAAATTCAGAAGGCTTCTTTAGCGCTAAAACTTGAAGACTCCTTCCTAGAAATCAGAATACTGAAGGGAATTTAACTTGTATACAAAAGCGGTATTCAAAGTTCTAGGGGATTCTTTTCTTTTAGAGAGGGAGAAAGGCCGCATGTGTAGAAGGTAGAGCCTTCAGTACACCGCAGGTGTGACGGCGCCTACCTGATTTAGCTTAGCGCGAATAGCAGATGGATAGGATCTCATTGAAAGCTTCACGATCAACCCTATAATACACTTCTTACAGCGTGTACACCCTGGACCTTACCATGCAAATAATGGCAAGAGATGCGAGACGTTCTTACTGGACCCCCATACACAGTTTAGCGCTCCCGAACCCGCATCCACGTGCTCAGCCCCAAAGCGGAAATGCCTCGGCATTGATCATATGAAGTCCCACGGGGTCTTGGCTGATCGCATTCACATGCTTGAGGTCATTTCCCCGGATTCACGGCTCGCGGACAATCACATCATCATTCCTCACACAAGCTTTCAGACGCCTTTATATATCCGTTGTCCCCGTGCCCCCCTTTGCACTTCTCCACACACACACCCCCAGCTCGCTTTCTGTGCGCTCACCCATCAACATCTACAACAAGTAGCCTGGAGCTTCTGGAAACACAACGTAACACATCGCGCATACACACACGCACACACACACATACACAACCATCATGTCTCTCAAGAACGGTACGAAAATACCCGTATCTCAAGCCTATTATCCGAACACAACTAACACTCCCTAGACGCCTTCCCCGCCTCCATCGCCTTCGACCACATCGCCGCCGCCCTCTCCACCGAGTCCGCGCGCAAAGACGCCATCAAAACCGGCGGCGCCATCTTCTCCTTCAACCTCAAGAACAAGGCCGGCGAGCAAAAACAATGGTACATTGACCTCAAGGAGAGCGGTACCGTTGGCGAGGGTGTTGCGCCCTCAGGAAAGAAAGCCGATGTCACGCTTACACTTCCTGAAGAGGAGTTTGGCAAGTTGGTTGTTGGCAAGGCGAATGCGCAGAAGCTGTTTATGAGTGGGAAGCTCAAGGTCAAGGGCAATGTGATGAAGGCGACGAAGCTGGAGGCGGTGCTGAAGAAGGCGAATGTTGGGGATGCGAAGGCGAAGTTGTAGATGGATGTGTGCGAATTTTGTTTACTTGATACGCAGATGTATTTGTATATCTCATCGAAGGGCATTATCTTCAAACGTCGACTGCTGCCCAACTACAGCCTTACCTTTGAATGTGGTTGCATCTTTTTTGCTTGTTCACATGCACTACACGTCTCATGTGACACTAGGTATGCTCTTAAACTCATGCAGGGCCGGTCCTTACACGAGCTAAAGTATGCTTACTTTTGATTGACCGACCCTTTGCATCCGGTCACGACAGCGCGATGCCAAGCCTTCACGTGAAGACGCGCTTGCACGCGTTTCAGCCGCATACGCTCCTTCGCTTCTACCCTCAACCAACCGCATAATTTTTCTATAATTCACCCTTGTCTCACGCGCTATCGCAATGAAGAATGACCTCCACAAGACCTTTGGCGAAATCTTCAATAACGACATTGACGCATTGCGTAATCAACTTTTAGAGATCCAAAAGTATCAATGTGACCGAAAGGAGTCTGAAAAGTGGGCAGAAAACCTGCGCTTCCTTGACATATCAAAAGTTCCAGACTTGCAGGCCGAACGGTTGAAGCAGGAACGTCTTTGCTCTCAGTCAAAAGAGAAGGATCCGCTCTTTGAACGAATACCACCATCCTACGATGTCCCTATAACCAAACGCGAAGACGACAATGGCGATAGGTATATTGCCGTCTCTTATAAATGGCCTCAGGCTCGCCCGAAAGCCGTCTCTAGCACTATGAACCCGCCTGTGTTCCGCTACCAGATCAAACGGCCAGGTAAAAAGTCCCACAAAAGTGGGTTTCCGGATCATTACATGGATCGGGTTGTTCGATATGCACAAAGTGTCAAGATGACGAGACTATGGGTGGACATAGAGTGCATATACCAACGACCGGAAGACAAGCGCACGTCGCCGAAAGACCAGGAGCTTGGTGTCCAGATCATGGACATGGTTTACGGTGATAGCACACATTCCGTTGGCATACTAACTGTCGAGATCCAAGACCAACGCGAAATCGATATGCTCTCCAATCTGCTTTCCAAATCTCTTTTTGTCGATCCCAACGATGAGGACGATCTAAAACTGCGACCCGAAGTTGATGTCACTGCCGTGCAGATGCTGATTCTTCACATTCTCAGCGATCCCCGCTGGTCGCGCGGCTGGATCTTCCAAGAAGACCATCTTGCTTCTCAAAAGATGGTATTACTCATCCCATATAATCCGCGCCTCGAAAAGAGCGGTCAATACCCCTTTGGGAAAATACCAGGCGAGCTTCAGGTAAAGCTCAAAGATTTCCGACAAACTGTGACGATGTTTTGTCGAGCGTGTACCACGGGTGAAGTGCGATGGCCCTGTACCGAGATCTTAGCAAAAGTGACGCAGTACAACATTTGCAACAAGATCATTCATAATGTGGAATTTGTAGCGCAACAGCCGTATGTTCCGCGTCCCTGGGATGTCGAGTCTAGTTTCGGTAGTGAGGCTAGCAAGTCCAGCACGCAGTCCGACCCCTCTAAGATGTACTCGTACCCAACTACGACTGCAAGCGTACTCGATGACATTAGTAGCCGCTGCTTAGAAAAAGAGTCGGATAGGATCGCCATACTCGCCAACGCTTTGAAGAGTAAGAAGCGGCTCAATACTAGAGAGGGGTCGCCTTTGGTTGAATCTGGGACCTACAGTCTCTCTGCCGCTCTTCTCACCGTCATCTTACTGAATGGAGAAATATTTAAGAATGTCCCAGGGCTTTCAGTCAAATGGCCGTTGCTTGATCGCTCATCTGAATTTCCTACTGAAGCCAACATTCTAAGCCACACACTACCGTCATACCTCAACGCCTGCCAATCTCTTTTCACCGCCCCGGGTCGGATACGTCATCAAACTTTTATCGATCGGTGTCGCTTTGTATCGCCAATCATCACGGACCGTGGAATCGAGACGAAAGGATATCTTTTCGACTTGTTATCCGACGAGCAATTAGACAATGAGGGGACTCGATCTGATCTACTTTTTCTCACGGAGTTGGACGCGGTGAATTGGTCGCCCCCCGAGCGGAAGACTGGAAAGCGCAAACTTGATGACGTTGCTTGCCAGGTGCTTGGAATACTTATAGACAAGCTGGACGGATCGTGGCCGAATAATACACTTGTCAATCATATGCGTAGATATATCGAGTTGGACCAGCACCCGCCGCGCCCAGGAGAAGGATATGTATCCACGTCTTACATACTGGATAATATGTATGCGATCTATCGAGCTCTTATAGACAAGCAGGAGATTCGCCTTGCACGACTTGCGTCCGCGCCTCCAGGTGCAGAGCCGGTCGCTCTTTTCATCCGGCCTGGGGAGTATGTGGGAACCAGTCAGTCAACTGGTTATCTTCCTCACGACGAGCCAGTAAAGGTTTTTGCAAGTTTCGACAACGGTCGGCATGACTACGACAAAGAGCGGCTGGTGAGTCTGAGGGTTGATGTATACGATGATATTGGCGTTACAAAAGGCCGGGACCGACGACATCGCTGCCTGAGAAATTTGGGTTGGGTCAATGGTATTTGGGCTGTTCATGGCGAGAAGATGGAGACATTTGTTTTTCCACTGCCGGGAATTACGAAAGAGGGTGGTGATGAGCGAGAGGTGAAGAGCAATGCGGGAAAGAAGAGAAAGAGAAGACAGGAGGACTAGATGAAAAGACTCGTGTAATACCCAGGTCCATATGATATATTTCAAGTAGCCTGCAAACAGCTAGACCACACCTTGGATGAGATTCTTGATCCCCTCACCCCTCGACGTCTTCTCCCACGCTTCTGTCGCCTGTTCAAAGGGAGTCACGGAACTGATAAGCGGCTTTACATCAACCAGCCCCTTATCCAACAGCTGGATCGCCAAGTCATAGTCACCAGGTCCATACCGAAAACACCCCCTAACCATAAGCTCCTTCTGCGACATCACCACGATCGGAAACTCCACCCTCGCCTTCCCCAACCCCGTCTGCACAAACTTGCCCCCAGGCCTCAACACCAAAATCCCCGCCTCAATACTCTTCGTCGCCCCAGAAGCCTCAATAACCGTATCTACACTCTCCTCCCCCAACCCAAACGTCTTTAATAACCCCTCCGCACTCTCCTCCGCACTCTTCTCCCCCTTTACAAGAAAAGTCTCACACCCCAAATACCCCCTCGCAAACTCCAATTTCTTCTCAATAACATCCACAACAACAACCCTCATGGCCCCAAACCTCGCCGCAACAGCCGCACACAGCAACCCCACCGTCCCACCCCCCATCACCACCACCGTCTCTCCCACCCTCACATCCCCAAGCTTAACACTATGCACCGCGACCGCCAACGGCTCCACAAGCACCGCCTCATCCAGCCCCAACCCCTCGGGAATCTTGTACACCAAATCCTGCGGCAACACGTAAAATTTACACAGCGTCCCCTGCGTATCCGGGCTCCCCGGCGCCGCCGCAAACCGCATCTTGCGACAAAGATTGTACGACCCGGATTTACAGGCCTGGCAGAGGCGGCAGGGGGATCCGGGCTCGAGGGCTACGCGGTCGCCGGGTGCGACGCGGGTTACGAGGGGGCCGACAGAGTGGATTGTACCTGAGGCTTCGTGGCCCATTGTTATCCCTGTGCAAGGGTTTATGGGGTGTCCGAGGGAGGCGTGGTGCCAGAAGTGGACCTTGAGGTTGGGTTAGAGGGGGATGGTGGAGGGTGGGTGGAGAGAAAGGAGGTAAGATAGGGAGGGGAGGAAGGGGGGGGGAAATACATCACTACCGCAGACGCCAATGTAATTTATCCGAATAACGACGTCGTGAGGTGAAGATAGGGTGGGGATGGGTTTATCTTCGATTTTGGCGGTGTGAGGCGCGTACAGGACTATGTTTGGGTTTTGCATTTTTTTGTAGGAATAGATAATGAAGTGTTTGTTCTTGCTGATATTTATCTCTCTTTCTTCGCGCTGGAGATATTTTTTTTCTTATTTTGAAAAACGAGATTTCGGAAGATAATAAATATATCTGAGAAATGGGGGGGGGGGGGGAAAACACAGACGCGTCTAACTTCCCCGCACCCACTCTCCCCACCGTCCTCCCTTCGATCTCCCGCATATGCAAGTAATCCCCTCTCCCCTCTCAAAACCCCATTACTAATTCCCCTTCCCATCATCTTTACTCTCACTACTACTTTCGCCCTTTTTCGTTTCTTCCTTATCGCCAGATCCGCTGCCCCCGCCGCGATAGTGGCTCCCTTCTTTGCCTGGCTGGAAAATTGTATTACCTTTGCTATAGTTTTAGCAAAAACAAAAAAAGACCAAATTTTCCATTTGGCAGTTTGTAGAGGGGAAAAGAAGGCGAACGTACAAGAAGCGCAATGCGCCCATGCGCCGTCTCTTGTTAGATCGGCATTTGCTTCGCATTCTGGGCATTTGACCATTTTGGATTGTGTATTTTTTTTCTTGGTGATTGATGGGGATGGTGGAGCAGAGGGTCAGGGAAGCGGGTTGGGAATTTGTAATAATAGGGTCTGGTCGGAGGGAGGCAATGATAAGAATGTTTGGTGTTGTTGTGTTAGTGGGGGGAGGGGCATGATGTCATAGACCAATCAGCGGGCATCGGGTAGGAGGGTAGGGGTGTGTAAGCACTAGGGGTGTAAGACTTGTTATATCATGGGGTTTTGGATGATGGATTGATTTGGGTGATTGTAGGAAAACTACGGAGGAGTATATTTATTCTTGGTATATTGGTTGAGGTTAGGGATAGTCCCGCAAGCAGAGTGGTGACTTCGATATTTTTGGCCCTGAGTATTTTGCAGAGAAAATGTGTCGCGTAGACAAACGAAGCTAATTGAGTTTGCTCATTTCCATTTCTTTTGTTCTGGATAGAGCAGTGATCCAGTACAAATTTCATCTAAGCTACTGTCACCAAGAGCTGTTTCCCTCTATATTAAATCAAAGTAATTTTAATGTGAGCTTGTTAGGATTCAGTGTTGTCGATGTCATA